ATCCTGCCATCTTGCAAAGCTTCATTTGCCACTATTTCGTGAAGGGTTTTTATGTGCTGAGCAAAAACTCAAAGCAAAAGGCTCTTGAGGTTGTAAGATATTGACCCAAGCTTCATAAGTTCTGAAAAGAATGCTGAATAAGGCGTCAATTTGTTGTTTTTCTCTTTTGCTTGCCAGCATGTCTCCAGTTCAAGTGAAAGGTAAGCCAAATGCATGTATTAATGCTTTACGAAAATTTCATTTTGTTCGTCAAGCAGACAACAACAGTATCGATGTCCCTGCGAGCTAGTGTTTGGAATAACCAATGCAAGCTTAATGCAAATAAGAGTATTTTCTCGTTCGTTTGCCAAAACTGGGTCGAGAAAATTTTAGTGATCAGTTTAGTAAATTGATTCACTTTACCTTGTTCATTGTTGAGGTGAGAAAGTCTCGATGTTCTTCTGTTGATTAATGCGTCTAAATGCTCGTGCTTACCAGTTCGATAAATGACAACTAAAAGCCAAACGATATAGAGAATAAGAGAAAGCGATGATTTTTTAACCTCCAGATAGTAGCTCTTGTAATGAAAAGCAAGAAGGCGAGAAAATGCTAATTTGTGTTTTGTTTATTCTACCAGCTTCACAACCTTTTTCCTAGAAATCGAGATTCTTTTTCCGATAAACAAGAGATCGATATAAACGTGGCATGATATCGCTGACGTCACTAACTTATTGATATAAGTGTAAAGACCAGAGCCTTATTGGCTCTTGGAACAAAGGGCACTTTCAGTGGATGAATGCCATTTTTTTAGTGGTAAACAAATACATGTATCGTTCAAATAAGTTTCAGACGGGCATGCCTCTTAAATAAAATGCCGTTGTTAATCAGGTCGCAGTTGTAGCCTTCTGTTTCGAGCTCCATATCATGGGCCAACCAGATCGTTTTTCGACCGATTTCACATTGGCTTGACATAGAGTCAAATTGTCAAGGCTGCTTTCACATAAAAAGATCTGTTATGTGTCTTTATAGTTGGCGATCATTCTATGCTTTTTTTTTTACATCCCTTTGTTCCATGCAAGAGCAAAATAGATTCTAGATCAACGGACGCTGCTGACGTCAGTGATATGGATTAGTACGCATAGTACTCTCTATTCCCAAAAAAGAATCGTAAATTCGAGGAAAAGATAGCGAAGTAGAACAAACAAAAGAGCACAAATTATGTTTTCCATCCTTTTCCGGTGCAAGCGGCAATTGTTGTCTGCGCTTTATATATGCATCAGTTTAAGTTACCCACGCCATCGAAAGAAACCGCGCTCATCAATTTTATTTATATTTATATTATTTATATGTTTATTTATACACGAAATCGGATCACTTTTACATGGTCTTCCGAGGAATCGTGTGAAATTACATGTAAACTAAAATACTCTAAGGAACTACTTGACTATAAATTTAAAAATGCAAAAACTTATACGATAATAAGAGTTACAATGAGTCATGGTGTATTAACCCTCAGACGTACAAGCAAATTCATACCCCCACCGTGGTACAAGGGGGGAAGGTGGATGGAACCCCATCACGGAGTTTTTGATATGTTGAAGTATTTTGAAACGATTTTACCTTTAGTTGAAAGCGTTTGATCTTCTTAACAAGCTAAGGTATACTGGTGGTGCTGCTGGAGGCCTGTGACGTCACCAACAATGGTCGCCATTTTGGCCGCCATCTTGGATTTTACCAAGAATTGGAAATCAGGTTAAAACCGCGATAAATGATAATTTTTGGTGCTTTACATGAAAAATAACACATAAATAGACAGTTTGTATGATTTTAGCCACAGGGTTTGCTTTTATTGTTGAAAGAAGTTGGAAAAACATGAATTTTCACCAAAAATTGGCTTGACCACCTGCTATCTCGAAACCATAGCAACTGACCATCACTAAACTCGTCTCAAAATCTGCGCGAGGGATGAACGAACAGCTACTGAAAACGTCAGGTGCTATTGTTTTATACTCTAGGAAAAAACTCAGAAAAACCTTTGGGGGGGGGCATCCACCCCCCCCCCGCCCCCTTGTACGTCTGAGGATTAAGATAATCTTTCCCGTGAAATGACGTTTTAAAAAAATTTAAGCTAGGCAAGTTTCTAATTTCTGAGGGAATCTTGTTCTACAGAACAGATCATATGTAGTGTAGGCTCCTTTTTTGTACTCAGAGTTTCTAAGATTGTGTGTGTACATTTGAGGTGTTGGTAAAGATCCGCCCTATGGATTTTATACATTGTAACAGCCGACTGTATATTAGTGTTGACGACTTACATTTTCTAACCTTTCCTGGCCAAGCTAATCCAACAAAACACTTGAGCAAACATGACCATTTAGAAATGTGAGAATTCTGGAAGCCCTATTCTGCATCTTTTGAAGTTTGTCTGCTACTTCCTTATTGATATTTTTCATTCAGCACTAAAATATTTAAAATATGGCATTACCAGTGCATTGTACTGTCAAATGGTGTCATAGGATTTACATGCTTTAATACCAAGACCAGTGTTCTTTGAATTATGGTATTAACGTGTGGGCACCAGTTCACAGATTCATCGATTTGAAGTCCAAGAGATTTATTTTTAATTGCTCTTTTTAACGGTATATTATTCATATTATAATTCATTTTATGTTCAAGGACATATGGGTCTTCTGCAGAAGAAGTAAGGGTAGTATCATCTGCATTATACATTCTAGGTTTTGAAAACAAGTTACATGAAGGGAGATCATTGATATAAACAGTAAACAACAGAGGGCCTAAAATAGACCCCCGTAGAATACCACATGTTAAATTACAGAAATCAGATTGAGCTCCATCAATAAAGGTTTGCTGCTTTCAGGGTCAGATAGACAGGACCGGAAACCATGCCAGTTAAGAGATCGAGTACTGGCCCCATTGAGTTTACGCTTTCCCAGTAGGATAGCCTGATCCATATGGTGACAAAAGGCTTTTTTTCAAGTCCAGGAATATCACACCATTTAGGAGATTGTTGTCAATATTCCATAGCCATTCATTTGTCGCCTCAAGTAAAGCTGTTTCAGTAGAGAACATAGGTCTGAAGCCAGATTGCGATTCAGTTAACAAGTTATTACTATTTAGATATTTAGACATGTAGTTGGTTAAAAACAACTCTTTCAATTAATTTACTTGCTACAGGCAGAACTGAGATAGGTGTATAGCTGTCAGGATCAGTCTTCAGGTCCTCTTTAAATACTGGTGAAACTCTAGCTCGTTTCCAAACATTTGGAAATATTCCAGTGGTAATAGAAAGATTTAATATAAAAGTTAAACTACGAGTAACTATGGGTGACGCTTCGAGGTGTAAGACAATAAGAGTTGTTTAACGGCCTGTTTACATGGAGATGGGGGACCCCAGGTAGGCCGGGTAACCTGCTTAGGTGGGGTAACCCGCTTGTCCATATAATCTCTCATTTTAATTTGTTCACGTTTACATGATAGGTGGCGTGACCCGCCACATGTTACCTCACCTACCTGAGGTCCCCCAACCCCTTGTAAACAGGCCCTAAAGGTGATGTTACACGAGGACGATTCGCAACGACGATTTGTATCGCATGCAATGTTGGAACAGTGTTGCAATCATTTGAAACAATGTGGCAACGCTGTGTTGCGCTTAAAATCGTTGTTGCGAATTCGCCCGTGTAACGTCACCTTAAGACAAGAGACCTTATTTCACACGAACCTGGTTCATTCGTTTAGCATAAAGAATTAAGTAATCTTTAAAATAACATACCTGATAAGAGAATTAAATTTGGCGGGGGGAGGGGGAGGGGTTGGGGTAATTCTTGTGACCACTCCTCGCCAACCTTCTTACTATTTTTATGCGCCGCTGAAAAGGGAATGGCTTTCAGGAGTCTTTAGTCTTAACCCGTAGGACATACAATTTCACTTTTTAGCGTAGTAAAAGTGCGAAGAGTGTCTTCTGTCCGGATCGGAATACTTTTTATGTTCACTACGCTAAATAGTGAGAATGCGCTGTTTAATGGTAGTGACTCTGAAAACCATTCCCTGCCGGCTCAACGGCGCAAACCCGTATAGGCGAAATAAGGGATCACACCCTTCAAATCGTACGGGTTCCGCAGTCACGTCAGTTTGCTAATAACAAACTGTCCATAAGCAAAGTTAGGAGTTTTGATTGCTTCATGTTTGTTTGTTTGTTTGTTTGTTTTTTTTTAAGAAATTAATTTATTAATCGAAATTCTTTAAACATGTTTACAGCGAAGTGGAGCTGGACCGACGTTTGTTGGGCCGGAGTGGCTGGCGGTCTTACCATAGCAGTCGCGCCTGCTGCTTTGACAGCTATGGGATTTACCGCAGCAGGAGTTGCCGCAGGCTCAGTAGCAGCAGCAACCCAGTCCGCAGTCTATGGAGGATATGTAGCTTCAGGTAGTGCGTTTGCACTGGCCCAAAGTGCAGGGGCCGCTGGAATTGGCATAAAAGGTGCTGCAGGTCTTTTCTCAGCCGCTGCCGCAGGAACTTTTTATGCGAGGAATGATGAAGAATAGAAGGCAAAACGAACATAACTTCATCTTTTAATAAATGACCATTACTATCTTTTTATAGGACGTAGATTTACTAAGAAAAACAAAGCTTGCAAAATGTACTGCTTGTCTGATAAACGTTAATTTTCATTCTATAAACATTTCTTTGTCGGAAGAAGTTCAGTTCAAGTCTTAAATTTTGATCTCAACACAACTTTATTTTGTGAAAATATGATGTAACTTCCGACGTAAGCGGTGTCAATAATTTAAATAATTATAAATTTCACTAACAACGATTGAAATGCTCTCAATCTGCTGATTCTTTTTCGATCTGATTTCAGCGATCGAAGTATTTGGACAAATTTTAAACTGAACAGAATAGGAATAAATTTCATTGTTCTTAATGCTTAACATATGTAAAGTTCGAGCTATAGATGTGAGCTACACATAGTTTTGTGTTACTTTATTTGCTTTTTGTCGTTGTTGCTGTTCGTTTTGTTTACAGAGATTTCAAACCACTTTTTATTAAATAAAGTTTACAAGTAGTACTGTTTGGAAGGCATAAACAGTCGTATTAGATCCTCTTTACTCTCAGTACAGGGAGGGATCCTAGGAGATACTGCAGGTTGCAAACTGGGTCCTTCTTTGGAGCAACGTTTCCTGTCTGATCATAAAACCGACACAAAAAAACATAATATGTTTATACTGTGCATATCTGTAAAATTTTCAGTTTCAAACTCTTGAATTAAAGCACAGTCGTCCCTATTTTCGGCCAAGGTTTAATTATAACAATAAATGGAATGAATGCATCTTCGGCACGATGTTGAAGGTCTCAAACCGCTGTGCTTGTTGTTGTTTTTTTCTTTATGCCCCCTGAAGTTATCAACATGGGCAAAAATGTAACTGATGGTCTTGGTCTTTAATATATTTTTTGGCCCTTATAAGAGCTCAAATCAATGTTATAACATCAAGTAAAAAAAAAAAAAATATCAAAGAAAGTCGAAGGAACTGAAAACATCCGCCATCTTGGATCTGTTATTTTTGAACTAATTAAATGTATCCTATTTTATATAAAACCCTCATAAATCTAGAGAATCGTGATAGAAAAATTGACCTCATGTGTATAAAATGATGCTTAGGAAGCAAAATAACATCTGCAAGTTTTTATGAAATTCCTCGAGAAATGAACGCTGTTGAAAACTGAACCCAGAACCTGCCATTTGGTCATTTTAATTCACCTTTGTTCTTTCTCAAATTTGTCACTAGAAGAGGCCTAGATCACATTAACAGCTATAATAAATTTAATACAATAATACCAAATTAGGTGATGTATTATCATTAAATACCGTAAAATTCCGAAATAAGCCCCTCCATGTATAAGCCCTCCCCCCCTAAAATATAAGTCCCCCAAACCGGTAACGCAAAAAACCCTCCGTTAAATCGCCCCTCCAAATAGAAGCCCTTAGGGGGCTTGTACTTGGAAAATTGCCCTCAACTACAAAGTAAAACAGAGCAAAAAAAGTAAATTTGCTTCCAATTATAAGGCTAGCCCAATCGGTTTTGAAACGAAAATTTCCCTCCGTAGATAAGCCCCTCCAAAAATATAAAGCCCTCCCCAAAGCCCCGGGGCTTATTTTCGGAATTTTACAGTAAGTCAGAATAGAAGTAGAACCTTTTTTACAGAAAAGTGAAAATTTTGCATAACATGGCTGTCAAAATTCGGTTGCTATGGTAAAGTCAATTTTGATGTTCTCGTAACGACGACTTTGAAATGTTCCGAGATAAAGTTTTAGGAAAATTTTTTTTCAATTTTTGGTGGTCATAGTTTGAACGAGAGCTTTAAAGGAAACGCCTTGGACTGAATAAGGTTAAGTAAGTCAGCCGTTCTGGTTGAGCGACACTCGCTAAGCTTACCTTCAAGATCCCTTGCAGTGTCTTCATGGTACGAGTTACCTCACATTTAACTCCAAATTCAGTGATATGACACGTCCAAGGAAGTGACTGAAATTTAATGATAGTGCATTGCCGCGCTACCTCCACCAGCACGCGATGAACTTGGAACTCAAACTCTGGGTACTCTGATAAACTAACTATAACGGTGCCAGGTTTAACGTGCGGTGCTAAAGCGTCTAGATAAACTTGATGACAGGCCGCAGGCATCATAAATATCACTATCTGAGCATCTCGCATAGCGTCTTCTGGCTTCTTTGTCACCAGAGTTGGTTTGGATACAATACTGGACGCATTTTCACCTTCACAACGAAATGTAACCTCAAGTTTCTTTTGCTGCAGTGCAGTATTCCAGCGTTTTGCTTCATCTTCATGCAAAGCAAGAATTCGAACGTCAGTGTCTTTTCGAGAAGATGCAATACCAGCAAACACATGCGCTCCATCTCCGCTTCCACAAATCACCAACTTTATGGTGTGTGATTTCCTTCCCTATAAATTAAATGAGTTTATATGTTTAATGTTTGGTTCTAGCACATTTGATTCATGATGTAAGTTATTCTGTAACTGCTGTGCATTATTTATAATATCCGTTGTCAGGGAAAAAGCGTTCTTTTATTATTCTACCAGTGACAAAAAAGGTTCAAACCTTTGAAAGTATTTGGACAGTAAATTCAAGTAGTATTTTCCTTTTTCATTATGTTCGTCGTCGTCATTATCATCATCATCACTATGCTGTAATGTAAAAGAACTGCAAGCTTTAAAACTTTAAAGCTTCGTGGTTCAAATTATTTCATTCAACGCCCTTAAATTTAGCCTGCTAACCGCATGCGTATTTCCGGTTGTCGCTTCTCTTCCTCGGCGGGAGAGAAGCTACCACCAGAAAAAGCCAATCCGGTGTGAGGAAACCAGACACAGTATTCACGGTTCAATATTTGTTTACAACAAAATGTCATTGAAAGTTCCTTTCATGAAGTACTTTCTTTTCTTAGTTGCTGTTTTGGAATTCGATTAATTTCAAATGTCGACACTTTTTGTGCTGTCGAATTTAGAATCAAATGGGTCGTATGTCGTCAACTATACTTGTTATTTGGCTGCACGTGACAGTCGTCTCCGACTGAAAAAGACAAAATCGCCAACGCATAACCATCCCGGAAGGCATTGCGTGTTTCCTTCCTCTGCTATATAAAATGGGGACGATCATTCGACTTTTGAGGGAGAGGGCTGATCGTTTATAATTTCAAATATAAACAAGAAACTTAACGGGTGACATCAATCCCACCAATATGATTAAAAACATGAAAAGGCAAGTTGTCCTATCAGAACGAGGAAAGATAGCTAGTCTTTCTAACTGGGACATTTCCACAATGCACCCTCTCCTCCCCCCGCTCCTCCAGTCCCTCAGCCCCCACAGATATAACATGACAGTAAAACGTGACAAATTTAAACTAACTGAAAACTCCCAAAATTATTCTCGTTCTTAGTTTTAGTATTGTTTTGTCTGATATTGCATTAATTTTAAAGCTCGTCTGTCCTGGTAAATATGTTCTGTTCGTCGGGGCAGCAGCCCAATGTACTCTTGTTTTAGTTTAATTCTGCTGTCGTCTATTATTGTTAAAAACATTCGAGCCTTACAAATAGTTTAAAACTCCCCAGAGTTGCAGCAATTCCAGTTAATCCAGTACCACCTCCAATGGCAGCAGTCGCCGCTGAGCGAATAACTCCAGTGGCACCTGCACTCTGACAGAGAGCAAACAGACTTCCGGCAGCTACAGATCCACCATAAACAGCTGACTGTACACCTGCTACAATAGAACCAGCGGCTACTCCAGCAGAAGTGAATCCAGCCGCACCCAAAGCAGCGCCAGCAATCACTGGAGCAGCTAGTACACCCACAACAGTAGCAGTCACCCCCACGGCTGCAGCAGCTGCAATCTTCTTGGCTTTGTTGGAGGATGTTTTTTTTCCTGTTTAACGAACACGCCAAAAAAATTCTTTGTAAATAATTAGCCCTTGTTAAAAGTAGGGTGGATAAAACTCTGATGCTCCAGGTGTTGTTTTTGAAACGCCGGACGCCACAGCCATTAGCCTCCTTTGTTATTTTCTCCTCGTGTAGTTATAGTATGGTGTGTTCTACAATATCCGTCAAAAATCTTGAAGCCCTTTAAGTGCATTTCTACTTCCCCAATGTTGCTTTGGGGTATTACAGTGGTCTCAGTGCTTCAAAACACGCGTGGCTCAACATTGGGGAGGGAGAAGGCATATTTCACTGAGAAGAAAAGTGTGATGAGTAAATCTCAGGAATTTTCCAGGAAATTCAAGAGAAACGGTGTCTGTTTCAACGATTTGTGACGAGTATTGTAGCTATAAGAAATGGACAGCTTAACCCTCGGACGTACACGCAAATTCATACCCCCACCGTGGTACAAGAGGGGGGTTGATGGAACCCCTCCCCAGGGTTTTTCATATGTTGGAGTATTTCGAAACGATTTTGCCTTCAGTGGAAAGCCTTCGATGTTCTCAACAAGATGAGGTATATTATTTTTATGGGTGGTGGCGCTGCTGGAGGCCTGTGACCTCACCAACAATGGTTGCCGTCTTGGCCGCCATCTTAGATTTTACCAAGAATTAGAAATGAGGTTAAAACCGCAATAAATGGTAATTTTTTGTTCTTGGCTGTACGATAACACATAAATTTGCATTTTCACTCAAAAATGGCTACTTATGGCGTCATATTTCGTAGCCATAGTAACTGACCATCACTAAACTTGTCTCAAAATGCGTGCGAGGGATAAAGGAACCGCTACTGAAAACGTCAAGTGCTGATGTTTTATCGCCTAGGAAAAAAACTCAAAAAAAAACCTCAAGTGGGTGGCAACCACCCTCCCCTTTTACGTCCGAGGGTTAAAACTTATAATAATAGTATTTACGTTCATTCAGATGACAACTACAGTCCAGAGAATTTCCACTTCTGAAAATTAGCATAACGTGGGCTAGCATCACAACATGGCGGCTTTGAAATATCCATGAAAGCATCTGCTTCTGAGGAAGTGACACTAGACTACGAGAAAGGCGTTTCGCCTTTGCGTAGGGTGATTTTCACGCACGCTCGAGTTTCGCTCGCTCTACTATTCCTGAGGAAAAATGGTGACTACTCGTAGTCTACAGTGACACCGATTCAGTCAGCAAGGCCCATTTTTCTCCAAAATTTGTCAGCGTAGTAAAAAGTTGGTCAAAAAGCATTTACAAAAAATTACATATTGCTTTGGACTATAGTTTATAAAATAACTAAGATAGTTCGCGCGCTCTGATTGGCCGAGAGGAGTGTTTGCATGAGAGTATGTAAACATTGTTGTGGCGTCAAGTTGTTTGGCTTTTCGGGCGCTAATCACGCAAGCACAAATTTGAAAAAGTTTTCGAGTTCAAAACTCAAAAAGTTTACTTTATTTACCCATTCCTTCGTCGGCTGAAACTTGGAAAATCGTTAAAAAGAAGGTGTGTACATTTTTCTTCGCCTCAGCTGACCGTTTTAAGCGAGAAAAATCCGTATTTTGCAAAGCATCTTTTTGCAAAACAAGAACTGATTACGCGTGCAAGACTTCGTGGACAAGACTTTGCGACTGGTAAGAATTTCTCTTTTAATCAGTGCCATACAAAGAGTTTTGCGTTTTTTTCTCGGGAAAGTTATTTTATAAAAGCAATAGAAAACTTTTTTTCCTGTGTTTGCATAGCCTGATATAAACACTCGAGGCGTTGGGAGAATTCTCGACAGTTACGCAAACCCTCGACTTCGTCTCGGGTTTGCATAACTGTCTGGAATTCTCCCAACCCCTCTCGTGTTTATATCAGGCCATGCAAACACAGGAAAACGTTTTCTATTGCTTAAATAACTAACGAATTAAGGGACAGACCATTAGAAAAGTGATGCGGGGGGGAGGGGGGGGGGGGAATTTTCAGCTTGCACGAATTTTTTTTTCGCTCACTGCTTGTGCAGGAATTTTTTTTTTTTCAGGTGAACCCCTCTGCACGAATTTTTTTTCCAGACAAATATTGCTTTTTATTGAACAGTGAAATCTTGATTCATTATCTATGTTTTTCTGCTTTATAAATTATTCTACACTCACAATAGATCAAAGGATACAGACCACTTTAATGCAAAATCTTTTCGAAAATGTACACACATTGAGAGAGTGCATATTTTCAGTCCCTGCCCTCTGGAATTCCTCTCCCACAGCCCATCATAATGATGCCATACTCTCTTAATTATTGGGTGATAAGTAGTTATTCTGGATAATAAATTAGTAATTAATGAATGAGGCTGAGTAGGATATGAAGAATTAAGTGGATCGAGGAAGGTGTTATCCACCGACGCCGTTTTGTTAAAAGTACCAGTGGCAGCGTTGCTGTTTATGTTGTTGACTAGTTAATGTTGGTAACAGTTAAAGTTTTAACACTACTACTACATGTAAATGCACTTTTTCATTTTATTACAGAATCATTATCCAAGGCGATAAGACCCATACTCTAATTTTATTGTGGGCACCAATAATTTTTTAGAATATTTACAAAGATACTAAATTCTAATATTTTTATTTTAATTATAAATTTTATATGTTGAAAAGTTTAATATTGAAACTGTTTATGGATAATTAAATGTATTTATGATATTTATTATAATACAGGATACACTGTATGTTGCAGGTAGACTGACTGCCAATGAAAACCATACTTTGTGGTTCTTAATTTTTGTTAAAAGTACCGGTGGCAGTGTTGCTGTTTATGTCGTTGACAGTTAAAGTTTTAACACTTACTACTACGTGTGAATGCACTTTTTCATTGTATTATAGAATTCTTATATTCAAGGTGGTAAGGCCCATCCTCTAATTTTTATTGTGGGCACAAATAATTTTATAGCATATTTACAAAGCTACCAAATTCTAATATTTATTTATTACAAATTTTATTTTGTTAGTTTTATTATAATACAGTATACAGTGTATGTTGTAGGTACAGTAGCTGCAATTTAAAACAAAAATAAGGTTTTAATGGTCTCTTTTCAATAAGAAGAAAGCGATTTTTGTTTATTCATATTGTGCCTGGTAATATTGTTGATTTCTGAAACTCGGGCTTTCTGAAAGAAACTTAGTCTTTCTGAAAAAGTCACAATTGGACCTTCCTTCTTCATGAATTTTTTTTCTTTACCTTTTTCTTTGCATGAATTTTTTTTCTTGGCATTTCCCTTGCATGAATTTTTTTTTGGGTTTTTTCCCCACCCCCACCCTCCCTCCCCATCACTTTTCTAATGGTCCGTCCCTAAGCTAGTTTTTACCATTGCCTGATGGAGTGCAATTTTCTGCATATTCAACATTCTGTGGTAGTTCCGGTTCCTCTGGTTCCCCCGGTTCCTTTGAATCACTTGACTGCTCCTCCCTCTTTTCCTGATCAAAGAAGAAATATCTTCAGCATCACCTTACTCCTTTAATTTAAAAAAGCCCCTTTTGGGCTCACCTGTTTTCGCTTTTAAATTCATTCAGAGACGTTTTACGCGTGCTTTCCAGTTTCAGTCAAATCTTCAGCAGCGACCCGCGCAAGAATTAAAAGCCTCTTGAGCCCTATTGCTTTGATAGCGCCCAGCCAATCGCAAGCACAGTATTATACGCAATTTAGTCCAGATTTCTGACATGACGGTTTTATACGGCGAGGCTCCGACCCGATGTACAATCCATCACCCATAATATACCATTTTTTACAAAAGAGGTACCTCGTTCGTATTCCTTCCATTGAAAAATGGTACCCCTAACATACCCACTCAATAAGAATAAATCGCTAAAGCAAAGGGGTCTCCTTGTCTTTTTGTATTACTATGGGCTGCTCCCCCTCCCCTTTTTGCGCCTGCCACGCAGGCTAACGCTCAGTTCGTCCTGTTTTCTTTTGAAGCTGAAGCTTGTCAAGATACATTGTGCTACGCAAGAAATAATTCTTTCTTGATTTTGGTATGACGGCCGGGTTAAAGCATGAGTCATGCATGAGCTAATTATATAAATAAATTGAATGGTGTAGTAGTATTCTCCTTAAATTCCATTGGCAATTTAACCGCGTCTGATCTGACCTTTCCTATGACGGGTGGACAGTTTCAGTACAAGTTAGTAAATTAAGCTATATACAATGGCTGTTAGAGCTAGACACTAGGGAGCTTTAGCATCAACAAAGTGACCTAAAAACGTCATGCGTACTGGAGAGCAACGGACACACTGGAACAAGACAAACATATGGCTAACATCTTTTAAATAATAATTTCCTTTGTTGGTCTCAGGGCGTAATAAGCTAGCCTAGCTTATTACGCCCTGGTTGGTCTTCTCCCAGTGCGTGCGCTTCTAGCTCTCTAGTGTGGTGTTTTTGTACCACGTGAACAACTTGCTGTGAAAGGCCCTGTACAACTAGTCATTCACGTGGTTTAACCCTCAAGAGAAAAGAAAAACATCTAATCTGGTAATTATAAGCACCGTTTTGTTTTAGTTCCAATTGCTATATAATTATATATTCATTTTCATGCTGAAGGAACTGGCTTTGACAATTCAAATCCTTGCTATTTGAAGAAGCTTACTACTGAGTATTAAAGAAGTCGCAAAGTTAAAATTTCTACGGTGTTTTTTACTTGCATCGATGATTTCAAATCGGAATATCAAACCCACCTTATTTTGAATGACGTACGCGCAGTCACTATAACAGTTCTCCCGCTCAGAGTCAACTAGTCCGGTTTTGGGGCCCGTTTCTCGAAAGGCCCGAAAGTTAACGGTCCCGTAAAGCTGTAGTTGTTTACATGCAAGATAGAAGTTTCAATTGTTTTGCATCTAACATGATAAAATTATCAGCTAACGAAACAAAATGGAGTATTTTGTTAGCCAACAACCCGCGCTCTTATTCTTTTTACTTCGATTTGGATATATGACTTCGGGCCCGAAAAGTTATCGGGACTTTGGAGAAACGCCCCTGGCCCGGCTGTCTCCATGTCAAGAAACAAAATATTTTGCAGCTTCATATATAAAGCCATGGGGAATAAATATTACCAAATGAGAACGTGGTACATTCAAATAAAATTCATCTGGTCATCAATCGCCATTGTCACATCTCCAATAATACACCTTGTTTGCCCGACCCGCCACCACAAATTTTGAATAAGCACTTTCTTTCATTTCTCTTGGGGCGACTGTAATACCTAGGATAAATAAAAAGTTGTTGGAGGAAAACAAGGTGTATTATTGGAGATGTGCAAATGGCGAATGCATTATAAAAGTTGTTATACGGTCTGTTTTATTTCCTGCGATGAGACCATTGAACTGAACCGATTGCCACAAACCTGTTGTCGGGAAGTCAACAAATATAATTTTACATTTTTAAGATGGCAATGATTATGATTGTGGATAAGTGTAAAGCTCATTTGAAACGTCTAACTTCACATGTGTTGATTCTATCGTTCTCGCTCATTTACATTCGGAATCAACCAAAGTTCGGCACAAGTGAATTTCGACCATTTTAACGGACTTAGGGTCATTTATCTCGCACATCGAACTGTCGCTGAAAATAAACCGAGACTGAATAAACATGAAAAACTGTTAAAACCTCAAAGAGGAAATTTAGGCAGAAATTAAGAATGGCTAAGCCTTATATTTCTTGTATTTCTTCAAGTCCGAAGACACAGTACAGACTAAAAATATCGAGTTATTTTCGTGCCACTAAAAATGTACAATGAAGTTCGATAAGATATATTTGTTTTCTTTTCGACCAGTTTCTTTTGGTCATGATCAGTTAGCGCATGAACCTCGTTTGCCTTAAACTTTGCATTGTGTAAGTTGCCCTTAAATAACCTAAGCTTATATAACAGAGAAAACATGGATAAAGTTCCCTATTAAATAGTACGAATTCCCTTCCTTTATACTGTAGAAGTGGCTTCCTAGAGAAAATATTATTCTTCGACAAAATTAAGCAACGTAATACAAACGTACTTGCCGGGGATTTTGCTTGGTTTGATCACAAGTTTCGTCCTCGCCTTCGTCGGCCATCTTTTAATTCATTTGCAAGCGACACGCGAACAATATCCTCGTGTTGGAGGCCTTCTCGGTCAATTCACTTCGTGTTGGCCGGTATTAGCTCACAGAGCGAGAATCTAATTAATATTTCATTTCCGGTTCAATACCAAGAATCAACTCGGAAGTCAGTCGAATATCCCTTTAAGCAGCGAGAAAGTTTGTACATTTGGAGCTCTCAGTGGTGTTAACCGTCAGCCGTCAAAAATGCACATTGATATAAACCGTCAAGAAGTTTCAAGGTATTTCAAATCCACTATTTGAGCTGGTGTTCACAGGATTATGTATGCTGAAAAATCTACAAACTGAAAAAACCAGCCCATGTTCTCAAACACACTCTTTCTAGACATTACAACCTGCTTATTGTGAAAATATTTCGAAATTTTATAAGTGGGACAGGCCAAGACAAACTCCAAAACAAAACAGATATTATTAATTCATAATATACAATTTAGTATTTACTTTCACGTTTGGACTAAATTTCCACTTACTAGTCGTCAACCTTTAAAAGCTCTAAAATTTGAACGTCAACCGTCAAAATTGGAAAAAAATTAACCGTCAACCGTCAAAGCTACCACCCCATTAAACTGAGACGCTCCTTTTTCCTCTTTCAGTTGTCAGACTGAATGACCTAGCAGGAGTTAAAACAAAAGCTTTCAAGCGTGTTGCGACTAGACAAGAGTATTCCATCAAGCAAACAACCAAACTTCCGGTTATTACTGACGATAAGTGTGAGTGTAAGGGGGTGTTACACAAGAAAACTCGCACCGGCGAGAGTTCATACCGGGATGACTTTTTGATTTCGATCGCATTTACATGATGATGGGTCATTTCATACCTCGCTTATTTTAAAGCCGGCACTTCATGTTGAAAAAAATACTCGTGGGATTCAAAATCGCAAACATTGCGCATGCGCTACCCGTTCCAGCCCACCGGCAAATCGGAAGACCGATTTCACACCGAAACGGGTGGTCGGTTCGCGTTTACATGGTACAGTTGCGAAATTTCGTACCGGAGTGAAATTCTCGCTCCGGTACAACAACTGGGGTGATATCACACCGGGGTGACTCGCGCCGGCATGACATTTTGTGGTGATATCTTGTAAACAAATATAGAGCCATGAGAGGGAACCAGAGTAAACTCGCGTTAACGCGAAAGTCGCCCCGATGTCATGATTGTAAACACCCCTTAAGTGTCACGGCTACGATCTCTGTTGATCTTAACGGTACAACTTAACATAACGCAAACGGAGTAGACACCATTACGTTTACGTGACGTTTAGTCATATCTGCCTTTACGAATAGTTTTTGTTGAGATTCTCCGTTGTTGTTGTTTTTATACAATTGATAGGGCTTAAAATGTGCTGGCTAAAGTGGAACCCTCTCTGAGAAATAATCATCGCTGACATTTTCTTGACTTGCTAATGGTGATGACCCACCATATGTCGATTGTTGGAGTATTAATTTTTTGTATTAGTCGCTCCGATTTATTGTAAAATTCATTTTTATTACACAGCCGCTGCGAAAACACTTTATAGAGTAGCGAGCACCAACGGAGGACATACATGTATTTCGCCGATTTTTTACGAAAATCTCTCTTTTTTTCCTGTCATCCTTGCTAGCATATACGAGATTCCCTATTGTTTCAATATTCTTAGCATGACAATATTCCGGGGGGGAGGGTGCTACTCCTGAGAATTCTTGATGGGGGTGTACCGCCCGGTTCTCCAAATCCTGACCCTATTTCAGATCAAGAAAAGTCATTTTCCACACCCTTTTTCAGACCTGGTCTTTGGGCAGAAATTATGTCATCATTACTTAGATTAGAGAGAAAATAAAAAAGAGTTCTTCAAATGCATTTCGAATTCCCATATTTCTATTCCGTTCTTATTCATTTGGAATTGGAACGTTCATATGCTCCAGCGTTATTCCCTTGAAAACCATACCTTTTGGGGCGGCATTAAAGACTGATATGCCTTATATTTAGTATCCCCCGGGAACAATGTTTTTTCGGTTTCACTTAACGCTAATAAATGTTCTTGTCAGTATTCAGTGAAGTTCAGTGCGTTGTCACTCAGTAAATGCTTATTATAGTGGTGGACAGCGCAAGCCGGACAAGAGTAAAGGCCTGGGATATACGGCAGAAAATGCAGAACCGCCCAGGGAAAAGGTAAAATGACGAGAGAAAGACCTTATGAAATAAGCAAAGTGAAGTTTTATGATGACTTCAGTAATACATTTAGAAAATAAAGACGATAATAAAACATGCGAAAATCGCACTCGATTCTAATACGATGCCAAAAAACAAGGGAACTGAGTTATCACAACATTTGAGACTATTTGTACCCCATGTGTTTGATATGGCAAATGGAACTTGTTTGAAAAGTGCAGAAGCTACGTTAAATAAAGTTCTGACAGTTAACTTACAAGTATACCATGCAGATGTTAAGGGATAACAGCATTTTTCTATCATGGCTCTAAGGTCCGTTCTCGGGAATTAGGTAAAGAAACGCAGTCGAATGTCTACTCACAGGTCCGTTGGTTTGAATTTAAATAAAGTCCAGAACTTCCCGTTCGCGACCATCCAAATAGCAAAGACTTGGTGGTCGCTTGGGGGAGTTGACCGTACGTACATCGTGATTGAATTCAAGAGAGGATCCTCTCTTGTTGAATTGGAGTGTAGAAGTCAAATTTCACGACAGTTTCTGAGTATAGTAAAACACATATGGTTAAACTTTAGAAACGCGTCCAGCGTTGTGACCAGTTGTGAACTGTTTAAGGCTCGATTACGATTCGGGAAAGGAGCCCGTTCAACGCCAGACCCTAGAGAGTGGTTGAAATCGAGCCTAGAACTACTAATGTCCCGTTATATGGGGGTTTTAACAAACTACTTGGCCCTTGGAGCGGGGAATTAGTGGTGTTTTAACACCAGGTCAATGTTAAATTCTCCGCCAAGTCCCGAAAGTTGGTGGGCTTGAGTTTCATTTGGCTGATTCATTATATCGTTCAGCCGAAGCCTATCCGAGGTCCAGATGAATTCCCATGGCCGCACAAACTATTAATCACGACAGAGAGACGATATAGTGGAAAACAAATAAAAGGGAAAGTACGAAGCTTTGCATCATGCGTCTTGCTACCGGATGAAGCTATTTGTTTCTTTTATAAGTACTGAGATTTTTCTTAAAAAGTTATGACAAATTAGAAGCGACTAGACGATGAATGAGTTTTATTCACTCAAAGGCTTAGTTTGCATTAACTGAACATCTTATCAGCAGTTTTCAACATGGTTATTAGTTTTACAAACTCAAAAGCGTAAAAGCTTCAACCTTTTTTATTTTCAAAATTTCAGCTAAAATAAAAAATGAAAATCATAAAAAGTAGTTGAAAGAAACGCATTAAAGCAATGTTGAAGCCCCTCAAAGGCCCAGCCCAACTCTGCTCCATACCGTAGCAACGTTTCTGCTAAGCTAGTAGAGATTCCTCTAGAGTGAGCTTTGAGGACTGATTAACTGTGTTTATGTTGATTGAAAAGTAGCCTTGTTGAATTACAGCCCCGATGAGTAAAGCTAAAGACCGTAATCGGCACTAGAGTCTTTCAAAGCGTTTGAATGCCCTTCCTACATCTTTTCCTCCTTTTTTGCATTCCTCTATAAGTTCATAACGTGGTTGTATCACAAACCATATGAATACTTTACAATTGAATTCAGCCATTCCATTACACGTTCTTTAACTCTGTTCTAAAAGTGATTTCTCTGTTCAGCTGATTCAGTGTCCGTTCCTCTAGTGGTTTTGATGATAGCGGCATTTTGTTGTTGTGGGTATACAACACTGTTCTCCGTGCTTTTGCACTTGAAAAATATCAAACTTGACCTGATCAATAAGAATTAATCTTTGCGCCAACATTTTCTTTCTTCCTAACTGAAAATTCTTTAAGAATTGGTGGAGATCGCACGCCTTGTCATAACCTACGAATTTCAGCCGTATTAGATCGACCGTTGTTCTTTCGAAATCTGAGTGTTAACAACCAAAACGCGCATACGTGGGTGTATGACTCATATGTGTACATCTCTCGTGCCTTCACTATAATTCCACCTGGTCGTACTGCTGTAAGTAAGCCCGCGATACGGTCCATGTATCTGTTGATTCTTCCCTTTAATTTGATTTGCATCCCCCTTCTTCAAAATCCAATCGGTCATGTTCAGGAATATCTCCGACAACTTTCGAATCGACAGACGTTGTTGAAATCGGAAGAATCGAACAATCGGATACTTCAATTCCAAGTAAAATTCAAAGAAATTCGTAGTGCTAAATCGGACAATAGTATCCCTAAACCGGTTTCCGATTTAGTACTCATCGCACCACTCTCCTTATTTTGTATAACACTTTTCCTACTTTGTTGTTATCTAGATTAGTGCAAATAAGTTCTTCTTCAGTAATTAGATGACAAAATAAGTCACGTGGTCCCGTGTGACCTAACCTTAACAACCCGTTTATAAGCTCTGTCCTACGTTTCGTACTGCAAGACGTTGCATGTCTACAGATATAGACTTCCCCCTTCTTTTCTAGATGTTTTTGAAACACCCTAAATGAACCACTCCCTGATATACCTGAAAAAGCTACCTCAACATTTCTGACGCATACAGTTACACAGTAATGTGCATGTCAGGCCTCAACCGTAGCATCTGTCCGTCTATGAGTACACACATCCTAGGGTGTTTCACCGTCACGTCACTTTCCTGATAACAAACTGTTCATCAGCAAAGTTAGCAGTTATCCATTATTGTTTGCTTGACGTGTGCATTTTGAGAAAGTTATTAATTTTCAAAATTCTTTAAACCAGGGTAGAGCTTGACTGATGTTTGTTTTGCCGGAGTAGTGGGTGGTCCTACCATAGTAGCCGCGCCTGCTGCTTTGACAGCAATAGCGTTCACCGCAGCAGGAGTTGCCGCGGGCGACACAGTCAGCTTGTGGCTTCAGGTAGTGCGTTTGCACTGGGCCAAAGCGCACCGGCCGCTGGAATAGGCCTTTTCATAGTGATGGATTGAAGCGAGGCTGATGGTGACCTTGGCTTGATACAAACCTTCCCGCTTTATGTGGTCACGTGGTCATGGAGGGAGGACGTGGTTTTACGACCTCCTGCTATTTCGCTTTACTCTGTCTATTTTTACGAACCCCAGCAACTGATTACAGTTACTCTGAAAGTCCACCAACAACTGTGACACCCAGCATCTCTGTAAATCTACATATCCTATCTAAATGGCAATGTAGCGAGGAACTTCTCATACTTCCATCTGGACCACGTGGCGGCCATCTTGTTTTGGAGGGACAGCTTCGAAGAATTAAGTACTTTTCCACTCGAATTAGATATCATACGAATGGAATTTCTACTTTTAATCCATCTGCCTTTAAAATTATACGCAGTGCCGATGTTGAAACTAATCTAGGCGATGAAACTGTCAATATTTCGTCTTCCAATGCAGGATCTTCACCTAAAAGTCTTCGATGTTTACTACTCAATGCTAGAAGTTTAAGAAATAAGGTTCTTGACTTGCAAGTCCTGCTGCTTGAAGATTACTTTCCGGTGATTGCTATCACGGAAACATGGCTTGAATCTAGCTTCATGGATTTCGAATTGGGTCTCAATGACTACTGTGTTCATCGCAAAGACAGACAAGATCGTAGAGGTGGAGGTGTCTTATTGGCAGTACATGCGGATTTACTTTCCATAAGAACAAGGGATCTGGAGTATAATGATAATATTGAAACCATCATGGTGGAAAGTTGTCAGAAATCAAAGGACAATGTTCTTTTTGAAGTTTGCTACAGACCACCCAGTGCTGATGTGGAGTATTCTCTCAAATTACGTTAATGTCTGGAGAGAATTGAGATGACCAGATTTGCTACCTGTTATCTTGTAGGCGGCTTTAATTTTCCAAGCATAGACTGGCATAGTTTAACTCCTACTTCAAGTGATTTATGTACTGTCGATTTTTGTGACATGCTTAATGATCATTTTCTGGTAATGTAATTTCAATCCAACAAGAATGCTTAATGCAACTGATGACAATATACTTGATTTAATCCTGACCAAAACTCCTGACCTGGTTAGCGATGTTGAGGTACTGACTGATCACTAGAAAATTATAGAGGCATTTCACTCTTAACTATCTCTGGGAAATGCCAGGAGAGAATTGTGTACAATGCTATTTATGATCAAATTGTTAGATTCGTATATGATTCTCATCACGGGTTCCTAACTGGTCGTTCCTGCACTACTCAACTACTCTTAGTACGTCATGATTGGTTCAGAGTCTTGGACAAGAGAGGTCAAGTTGATGTAGTATTTATAGACTTTTCAAAGGCTTTTGACCTTGTCTGTCATAATATTCTATTAACCAAACTTTACAATTATGGTGTCCATGGAGACTTGCTAAATTGGTGTAGAGATTATTTAACAGAACGTCAACAGCGTGTTGTAGTGAAAAGAGAGGCTTCCGACTGGTTAACCGTAACCTCTAGTGTCCAACAAGGTTCTTTGTTGGGACCATTATTCTTCATAGCCTACATCAACGATTTACCGGGGGTAATTAGTAAGGACAGTTCAATTGCTTTGTATGCTGATGACAGTAAAATGTATAGGGTTATTAGTACTCAAGAAGATCTGTCTACTTTTCAAAGTGACATAGATAAAGTTTCAGATTGGTGTAAGATGAATAAGATGAGAATCAATACCAAGAAATGTAAGATCATGCGAATAACCAGGAAAAAGTCACCCTTAGCTGGGGAGTATGATATTGAAGGTCAACCTTTGGAAAGTGTTAATGTGTATAAAGATTTAGGATTATTTACTGCTAGTAATCTTTCATGGAACCAACAAGTAGATAAAATAACTGCTAAGGCTAATAGGGTTTTAGGGTTGGTTAAGAGGACTTGTAGGGACTCAAAGGATATTGATACCATGAACACACTTTATTGTAGTCTTGTGAGACCTTTATTAGAATATTCATGCGAAACTTGGAACCCTCATACTAAACGTAACATTGATAAATTGGAGGCTGTTCAGCGAAGAGCTACCAGATGGATCACTAGGTCTAATGATGATTATGATAATAGACTATCTAAGCTAAAATTGTTGTCATTATCTAATAGAAGGTTCACTAGAGATGTTACATTTTTTTTTAATGTAATTAATGGACATTATGATATTGACATTTCAAATAAGCTCATATTTTGTAAGGACAGAAATACAGGTTGTAACTTGAGGAAAAATGACACACAGGACCTTGTTCCAAATTTTAGTAGAACTGATGGTTTTAAATATAGTTTTTTCAACCGTATTGTAAATGAATGGAATAGTTTACCCAATCATATTAGAGAATCAAACAGTATTGCAACTTTTAAAAACAATGTTTTAAGCTTTATTAAGGATAACTAGTTATTATATACATACTGAGAAATACTCACCAAAACTCACCAAAACTCACCATCAGAGGAGCGAACGATGGTTTTTACACGTGAAAAAAATGATACGTCCAATCAGAATCGCGAACGATGTTTTTTCACGTGTGAGAAAAATGAAACGTACAATCAGAAGCCACAGAGGTGTGTGAGTTTCGCACCAAAATTCCCGCCTTTTATTGCAGCTTGCCGCGCCGCTTCGCACGCATTCAACGAGAAAAGTTTTACTCAAAAAGTTTTTCTCGCTAAAAAAGTGAAAAACATTTCGGAAATAGAGTGGAATAGTTTCGTTTGTTTCACTGTCGATAAAGAAAACGGTAGAGAGCCGGCGAAACAACAGCGGAAAGGGATAAACAGAACGAGACGTAAGCTTTTGTTGTGCTTTTTGTCGGAGCTACTTTGCCTTTCATTTAAGCTTGAGCTTAATTGAAACCTGCCATTTTACTTAAATTCACTCATTTTCTATTGTGCATTGAGAACAAACGGTTAAGATTACTTATAGTTCTTGGATTACCTCATATCCTCGTCGTCATTTATCTTTTTAACAAACGTTTTTACTAATTTTAGCATTTTTGAAAGATTTAAAATAAAAAAGCCGCCAAAATGATGAATGTCTCAGTATGTATATAATAAACACAATACCGCATGGAAAGTGCTTTGTACGGTATTTACGCACTCGTTGTTTTTGTATCAGAAATCTTACTCGTTCGCTGCGCTCACTCGTTCGATTTCTGATACGTCAACAACTCGTGCGTAAATACCGTACGCCAGCACTTTCCATGAAGTATTCTCTATAACATTCATATTTCTATTCGTATATATTTTTCTTATATTTTAATTAGTCGGGGCATCTCTAGTATGGCGCATTGGCGCTTTTGGTTGTCTCCTTCTCCACAATTTTTTTTTTCTTTTGGTAGTGTTAGCTTATTTCATTTCATTATTTGCTTGTAATGTAGTGGAGTGAATCTGTAATAATAAATGTAAATTAAGTGATTCTTATGCTAACTAGTATTTTTCAAGGATAATTTCCATAACAAAGCAAATGTCGTTTGTATCAAAACAAAGGGCGCGATCCATTCAACCAAAATTCCGACCGGGACGACCGGGAAAAGTGGTCCACCTCAAAAGGTGGACCAGTTTTTTCGAAACTTTTTCGGTTGGACCGAACCGATCCATTGAGTTTTGGACCGAAATTTCTGGAAATTTTAATTAGGTTGAATGGATCGCGCCCAAGGTCACCGTCAGCCTCGCTAGGGTATTAAGCCACAACTGTAAAATGGTCTATTGGCATGAAAGGTGCTGCAGGTCTTTTCTCAGCTGCTGCCGCAGGAACTTTTTATGTGAGGAAGGATGAAGAATAGAACGCAGAAGGAACAAACCTTCGTCTTTTAATAAACAACCATTACTGCTTTTATGGGACGTAGATGTACTAAGGGATAAAAAGCATGTTTAAATAATACTGCTTTATTTTCATTTTACGAAACCTTATCTGTTGGACGAAATTAATTGCACTTCTAAATCTTGGTCGCAACACGAAGTTAAATTTGTGACGATACGTTGTAAGTCGTTTAGGCCACTTTAACTTGTTAAGTCACCTCAAAAAGTCATGCCACGTGTCGCTTCCTTTTAATCATTGCAAGCTTCCTACTAAAGAAAGTCACTTACATGTACAGCTGCGATCGAAATATTTGGGCAAATTTTAAATCATGTTGCGATGCGATCAAAAGTTAAGAATTTACTGCGGTGCTAAATTTTATTGTAATTTATTATTTTAATTACAAACGTAAAGTCTGAGCTACATGTGTTAGCTGCACATACTTTTGGTATTATTTTTCTCTAGATTTTAAATCACTTTATGTCAACTTCACAAATAATACTCTTTGGGGTGCATAAACGGCCTTAGCAGATGGACCGTACGGCCAGTTTAGGGAGGGGTCCCAGAAGATACTGTAGGGTGGAAACTGGGTCCTCCTTTGGAGCGACGTCTCCTCTCTGGTAAAACGTAAAAAAATACATATATTTCATGCACATTTGAATCTCAAAGAATGAACACCTCTCTGCTATGGTTTGATTTGTACTCTGTAATTTTATAACAAAATGCTCCTAATAATAATAACAATCTTTTAATAGGATGCTCCATCACAAGAGTGGTTTACATAGAGGTCCTAATTACGAGATGTATATTATATAATACAATTAAAATATAAAAAGGTTAAGCTAAAATCGATATATATGATACAAAAAAAAAAAAAAAAAAAAAAAAAAAATTCAAGCTAAAATCGAGTTACAGAAATAATTAAAACATACACACTACAAGTACTCAATTATAAAAAGCAGAAAAAAGACACTTCTTAAAAATTGGAAAACTTGCTGAGTTTCTTACAGTTCTCTCTAATTCATTAAAGTCTTTGAAACAGTGGTACCAATGAACGTTGTTTTCCCCAATTATATTTAATTTTGGGGAGCTTGATAGTATCGTTATTGCGCGTATTGTAGGAATGTATATCACTCTTTCTTACAATGTCCAAAGAATGATTAAGTTGGCCATTAATACACTTGTATGCATATATACATCGATGACATTTCCTACGTTCTTCAAGATTCAGCCATCTCAAGACAATCAATGCATCGGTGGATGAGGGTGAGGTGATCTATCTAATATCAACTTAGCTGCTTTGTTTTGGAGAATTTGCAATTCCTTCATAAGTGAGACATTGTCCTTGTCACCCCAGACTAAATCAGCATAATCAAAAATAGGTAGCACTAAGCTATTATAAAAAAGTAACCGGGCATCATAAGGTAAATAATACTTAATCCTACGTAGAAGACCAAGGTTTTTATTAACCTTACATGAAATATACTCAATATGGTCGGACCATGTGAAAGTTGAAGACAACATAACTCCCAAATATTTAAAACTACTTACAGAATTTATATCAGTGTCAAAAATAGATAACGTGAAAGAGGAAATACCAACAAGTTTCCTATTACTGCCTATAATCATGGATTTCGTCTTAGTAAGATTTAAAGTTAACTTATTTCCATGTAACTCCTGAAGAGTTATGAACAAGATCTAAAACAATTTAATTTTCATCAGAGAGCAAAAACTATTTTTTGGTAAGTTTTCCAGACACAGCATTAAAAACTTTAAAAATTTGACCCAACCCAGGGGTGAGGGGGGTGGGGTGGGGGGGAGGGGGAATCTGTGGTACAGTCCGCCTGCCAGTATGACGTCACGTTTCGCGTCAGTAACTTTGAAAATGGCGAGGAAAGCGTTCATCAGGAAGAGACGGATAAAAATTTCGATTTTATCACGGAGATACTGCTCCATTTTCTTGGATTTGGAGATTTTAAAGTTTCTGTTGTCATAGAAAACTAGACTTAAGTATTTTTTTGGAATGAAATGTCCAGTGGTGTAATGAATTTTAAAGATTCCTTTCTATCGTCGAGCAAATTTTGCTGGTAATCACACCGAACCGGTCACACTTTTGAGGGCCAGTGCACAGCAAGACTGAGGAGTTTAGACACAGCAGTAGCAGGTTCATCAAAGGATGTATTATACTTTACATTGTGCGTATTTTCAGCTCTTTAGAGCTAGTGGAACCCCATATCATTCCTCTCAAAGTTCGCTCAGCTGTAGCGTTGAAAGAGGAAGCTTAATGACAGGTATTTTTGAGAGACTCTAAGTATTAAATCTTGTTGCTTTACCGAATTTTAATACTGTATTGGGCATACACCTGTAATTCTGTAATCAAGTCCCGAAAACCAATAAAAGGTTTCGTTTAATTATTTTTTAGGGGCAAACCCAGAGGAGATTTTAGGGTAATAATATTGATGATTAAGACGATATACAAAAGGCAAGTTTAACTTTCGCCAGTGGGTCACTGGTGGGTGTTGGGTGTAAATTAGTACAGTTTGTGGTGTACTGTGTGTTGTTTGTCATGATGTCAACTAGCGTTGAAAAGAATTCAGCTGTTTCAGAGGAGGGACATGTCTTGACAGCTTCTGGTTTTTATCTGGTCGTAAGCTCGGCCAGTATGCAGATCAAGAGCTTTTGAAATCCCTTTTCCAAAATAAAACTCCTGATTTAAGCTTAAAAATATATATTGATCCAAGTGTATGACCGGCAGGGTCAGCAGTAAGAATAAAGAAAAAAAGGCCAAAAGGAAAAATAATGTTAAAAAAAGAGAGACCAAACAGAAAAAAAAAGGGTATAAAGAAACAAGAAACAGCGTCGCGGGGAGTCGGACCCGGTTTATCTGCACGTGCAGGCAACTCCTTGTCCACTGCACCACGGTGACACGCATGGTTTAAAAAAGGAATTTTGTCATATCAAAACAATTTTTCTCTGTCATAGACGCTGTTTGAACCTGGTGGAGCTGTATTTATCATGAATTCAAATTCAAAGCTATTTCGCATTATTTCGGGTTCAACGGACCGACTCGATGTAGATAATCAATCGGAACTAGCTTTACTGAATTTGGTGGAGAATTAGGAGATCAACAGAGGCCCACAGTCGAAAGGAATGATATGACGTTAGGCCCATTTAATTATCAAAAGAATAGATGAAATATAAACATGCGTGATCTGCATGTGAATGGAACCTCCTATTCTGGAGAATAGACCTTGCCTATTTTGGAGAAAAAAACTATTTAAGTTTTGATGACCTTGCCGGTCCCGTGAAATAGATGGCGATCCCGCAACACGGCCCGCAAAACAAATTGACAAAATTATACAATCACGGACACAAAATATCAAAACGGTTTACACAAGCAGATTATAGCAACACCAAAGCTCACACACATACGATCAAATACGCGATATATAGCGATATTTGCTAGCTTCTTAGTTTTTCCTCGACCTCGCTCGTCCAAATAACTGTCGCATCCCTTGCTAATATGCACAAGCGACCCGAGGCTCTTGCCCGTTACTATGTGACGTAATACTGACAGGCAGAGTGGGTCAAGAGAGTTATGTGGAAAACAATAGAGTTATCTCAAAAGTATGTTGAGTTTGATCGTCCGGGTGAACGTAGTCCTTAATAGGACTGTTGTTTTTGACAGTGACTGACGTTTCGACAACCTGTGCGGTAGTCATTTCTGCTTCGGGTACAAAATGAGATGTAAAAGCCTTTTTGTTACACTTTAAACAAACCGGCTATTTGGTCAAACAAATATTGGTACTGACTGAATTCTGCGATTTCAAAATGGCTGTGATAAAGTGGTAATCGAGTTTCGTGTCGTGCATTTTGGTCTGAAATCATACTCTTGTGATTTCAAATCGCACTCGATCTGTTTGCTCGTCCAATTTGACCACCACTTGCTGCCCTCATAATGCGTAAAACGTAGTGCGTAAAACAGCATAGTTTGAGTTAGACCGTGATGTAATATATCAAACACGACACGCTGTGTTTCAACCGGTATCAAGATACCGAGAAGTGGGTTGAAAAAGGAGGCGCATCCGAGTTTTTTAAGCCCGACTTCGAGGTGTCTGGATATCAGATTTAACACTGAGTGGAATATTTGATATACCTTCTCAAATAGTCAATAATTCGTGAAGAAATTCAAATCTAAAGTTTGCAAAATTTTATGGTACTGAAGATCCGATATCCAAACCAGTGTCACGATAGTGGTTTCCTTTGTTTCCTCTTCATGAATTATTGATGAGTCCGAGAATTATGTTTATGGCATAATCCAAGCGGTTATAGTCATTTCTCGTTAAACGACACTAGGCCTACCTTGATTTTCCCCGGCAGTGTGTCGATGGTACGAGTCACCTCATATTCAACTCCACATTCAGTAGTACGACACGTCCAAGGTAATGACTCAAAATTCATGATGGTGCATTGCTGCGCTTTCCTTCCGAGCGCGTGACGAACTTGAAAGTGAAACTCACGGTTCCCCGGTAAGCCAACTATAATGGTGCCAGGTTTAACGTGAGTTGCTAAAGCCTCTAAATAATATTTAAGACAGGACGGCTGCATCATAAATACCACCATCTCAGCATCCCCCATTACGTCTTCTGTTTTCTTTGACACTAGAGCTGGTTTGGATACAATACGAGAGGTTTCCTCCCCTTTACAGCGAAATATAACCTTAAGTTGCTTTTGCTGCAGTGCAGTTTTCCAGCGCTTTGCATCATCTTCATTCAAACTAAGAACTCGAACTTCAGTGTCTTTTTGAGAAAATGCAATACCAGAGAACACTTGTGTTCCAACTCCGCCTCCACAAATCACCAACTTTATGGTGTCGGACCTCCTTCCCTGTGAATTTAACGATTTTTAAAATGTTTTATTTTCATTTCGCTTGTTACGTATATCAGATTAATAAACCATTGTGTACGTTAACCCATTCGACTCATAATACAAATGTCTACAGTGTGTGATCTATAACATCGTTGCCACGGAATACCTATTGATTTTTTTTTTGTAAATAAATCATAATAATAGCAATAGATATAAAATTACAATGCGCATATACCATACAATTATGTTCATATGCGCATTAGAAATAATAAAGATACGGTTACCAAGGCATGTATTGCGCTATCTATCTTCTCATTGGCTAAGAGCCTGCAATTTAATTTTGCAAATCAGCGCAACCTACAAATTAGCTTTATTCCGTTGGACGGATGTTTGATCATTATCTTTGTTATTCAATCAGTATAATAAAACAGTTATTAGATTCGGTTTTTGTGATATATAGAATAATCTAGGATTCAATAACGTAAGTGTTTCCTCCACCTTGATTATTTCGGATATCACAAATACCTCAGTCATATAATTTCTTATTATTGTACCTCCAATAAAGATTATGCGATTTTTTTATTATCATCAAATCAGCATAATTGTCATCGTCATCATCATTATCGTCATTCTCTAACGCAAAGGAACCGCTTTTCAATTAGAAACTGACTGAAACCTCAGTTGACAAGCTTTTCGGTTTTCTTGAAGTATTCGATTTAGCGCTGTAATTTCGATTTGACAAAAATGATATCCCAAAAATTTTCTTGCAATAAGCATAAAAGGCTAATGTGAAACCGCTAACCGCCCTAACCGTGGGTTGATGTTAAGTGTAATGGCTAAACCTCGATCTTAAGGTCTCTAATAAGAACTCCCGTGAACAGCACTGAGCCCAAATATGTCCACAGTTGAGCTATTAAGAGCGGATGTCAGTAAATATCGACCAGAGGTCTACAAAAGTGAAAAATCGAAAATTCTCAAAAAAACTCACAAAGTAGCACTAGGTAAGCTATTAACATAAATGTAATTTTTACTTCGATCCGATAATTATTTTCCACGTACGGGGGGGTTATTAGAGAGATTAAGATTCACGTTTACCCCAAACGGCAAACGTGACTTTGTACCACGTGACCAAGTTTTTCCCCTTATTTTCCCTTTACTGTTTATTGTTTCTACACAAAAATAAGTAGTTTTATGCCAGCTTTATCCATAAGAATCGCTCTGGACTGTTTTTATCTGCTTATTTTCTATTCTGAGAAATTCTCAACTGACGTTTGCCGTTTGCCGTATGCCGTAAACGTGAATCTTAATCTCTCTATTGGTTTCGCGGCTCTCGGACCGGGTTTTCCAGGCCCGAGACCATGTGTCGCAAAGAAATCGTTCTAAAATTCAAATCCATTGTAATGCGGACAACAAATAACTTATTCAGAAGAGTACTTAATTGCACACATTCGGGTGATTTACTCAGTTTGAACAAAAAGTGTAATATTTTGGAGATTTTTCATTATTTTCAATATTTTTAACGTTTTCGTTCAATGAAAAAATGGCAATTTTCAAAGCCCAAAATCGTCGACTGGTACCTCCATTTCAGTAACGATTCTTATACCAAGTTAAAGAGCGTTATCTCTTCTTTCAAAATCTGTTTTCAAAACTACGGGCAACTTAAAAGAAAATGTTTGAGGCCAAAAAATACAAGTAGTACTTTTCTGAAATTTGAGCTTTCCAGACGCGGCGGGCCGACGCTAAAAACTTGGAAAAATACAGTAAGAAGTCAGTTTGAGCAATAGTGGTTTCATGTTATCAGCTTTCAGAAACCAAGACGTGTTTATACAGCGATCTGATATAAATTAATGCCGTTTGCTATCAAGAAAGGCAGATTTAAGCTGTCAACTCGTTCCAAGTCCAGTCACGTGAAGTTGTCAAAGGGAGGCAAAGCACTAATATTAAAAAGTCTTAAAATTCAAAACGTTTTACGTCCATGAAATCAGATTTTAGCGTACAAAACAATGTTGTGAATGTCTGTTGTTCGTACCTTAGCATGGTGTTTCCATATATTCGAAATGTCAAGTATCCACACGGGAGAACATACCAAACAACAACGTTTCAAATCCAAGCGCCGAGAGATCGTAAACGGGAAAGATTGCGTTACATTTCACAGAACGACCACTTACTACTGTTGTCACTCCTTTTTTCGCTGGAAGCTACGAGGAGTTTTCATTCCGTCATGAATGATTCTTGATCAGCGTTTCCTTGAAAGTACTACCCCGGACAGGTGATAACTGAGGACGTTCCTTCATGACTCCTGTTGTTCAGTTTCAGGCTTTAGCAGGTGCGCAGTGAGGATTTTTCCGGAGGTACGCCCAACTTTTTCTACATCTTCTTCCCCCCCTCCCCCTGCCCCCCCCCCCAAATCTCAACATTTTTTTAAGGTGTCTTTATTAAAGGTGGGGTTAACGGTTGTAAGCAAAAGCATTTTTGCTGTTTATGAAATGACACAACCTCTAAAATTCTTTAATTCTGTCGGCTTGTTATGTTCATTGACGTCAACCGTTTATCATTAATTCAGCTATTAAAAATCAAGCTTGTAGTACCTCCGACTTTAGTTTACCAATGACTCTTTTTACCCCTTTTTGTCACATTATTTTGACCGACAAAAGCACCACACATTGACGTAATTGTGCCCCGACTTCGTCTACTCCGAAGACAGGTCGTGGAGAAAACAACGCGTTCACGCTTTACATCATCAAGCTTGCTATATAAATAAATCATCCAAGATTCGGTTCTCCAATTAATGTCGTCGCTTCTCTGGAAACCGATTTTTTTAGTTATGTTTATTTCATTCTATTTTTTTTTCCTCAACGTTTTCGGGTACGCACGTGCAAACCGTGCGTACAAGTAGCTACGCCCCTGTTTAGTCTCCTTAGCCCTGAGCGTTCCTCTCTTGCGGTTTTCGCGGGAGTTCAGGATGTGGTCCACCCAGTATTTCACGTCTCTTTTAAATGAGAGGCAGCACTTCTTGTTTACCGTTTCGTTAACAGACAGCGCTTAGGCTCTTAGCCTTTCATTTAATTTTGATCAAATTTTTTTCATTTAGTTACTCAGTATACGTTCGATCCTGTCCTTGTAAACTTATACTTTTATACTTTAAGGGAGCTTAATTCCTATATTAATTTTTTCTTCGTTTAGTGTCTTCCAAAAGACCCAGTTTTTCGGCATTTTTTAAAAAAGCAAGAAAAAGAAACGACAAGGTTTATTTTTTTGGACTTAGATTAATTCTTTTAATCTAAAAAATTAGCATTATAACATCATTTCGAGGCATAAAACGTTCGGTTGTGTATCCTCTTTGCTTTTTACCCTTTTTGGGCCTTTTTTTTATGAAAGTGACCATGAAATTTTCCGCCATATTGAGTTTGTGTCGACTTGGTGACCATGTCTTGTTGTTTTCAGTCTCCACGGCAATGATGCTGGTGTTTAAGGCCTCCTATTCTCAGATTTCTTGTGATTTTTTTTTTCACCCCACCGACCGACCGACCCAAAACCAGGAAACCTATTCGACGCTAAACGAAAGAAAAGGGGATGACCTAAGCCTTATGGTTTCTTTTTGGGCTTCCTCACCACATTGCTTCTGCGTGTTTCTGTATACTTGTCTTCTGCTTTGTTTTGTTCTTTTTTGTCGGTAAAATAAACTGAAACTGTACGAAGACCCTTAATATTCCCTTGGGAGGTTCTCGAACGCGCATTAAAAAAAAAGAACAACGCGATGATTTATTGACCGCAAGGGCAATGGGGTGGGGTTAGGGCTCGTTACTGCGCTCCGGTTCACTCGTACACTGTCAAATGGTCCCGAAATGTAAAATGAAAAATGACTGTGGACAGACTATTCACGTCTAGACATCAAGCATCTTTTAAGATGGTACTTATCGCCTCTCCCTGTTCATGGAGTTGATTCAAGGTGTTGACGTTAATTTCGTGCTGCCCTGCATGTTGCCAGGACATGTTTCAAAAGGGCCTTTCCAAAGGTACGGAGTCCGCCGTCACCTTGTCAACCGTGCGAGAAATGATGTACTTCACAAAAACAAAGAGAAGTTATTTTCGATTTGCCCCGCCCCCTACCCCCGAAAGTCCCCGACAGGACCGCTTCAAAGTACTCCCCATGTGGTTGCGCGGGGGTTAGTAACAGGTCTACCTAATTGCACCGTGCATCAATGACAGTTTAGCTCAATCAGAAGCCCCTTTTCCCTGGCTAGTTCAAGGTGTGTGCACCTCCTTTAAGCTGTTGTTTTCGGTTCTTATAATTACTGAAATTTTTGATCTTGAGGAAACTCACAACGACAGCAGCAGGTTATGGGCTTTTTTCCTAGCCCTAATCCTACATCACGGGAAATCCCTCAGGTTAGGCAAGAATTCGATAATCCTTCCATAATCATCCATTTTTTCACCGCGTAAATTGGGTATTTTTTAGCTTATTTCGAGGAAATACTTTTTGCTTCAAATTCAGGGTGGGCTTTTGAGCACATTTTTTAAGCCAAATGGTTTTTGCGAGAATCTGCTTACCCGAACTTTTCGCATAAAAAACGACAAATACCCGAAAAAAGCTCATGTTGTTGGTGGTGGTGGCATATTTCCGATAAATTCAGCTCAATGTCTCGTGAAGAAGAATTCAGATCCGTGCCGCGCGCCTCTCGAGGCAAGCGTTCCGTCGAAATGCGAGCCCAAAAACAGGTGGTAAGCGGTCAATCTCACGCAATCTCCGTCGTTTGAGAGCAGCCGAAGATGCTCTTGCCGATGCTGTCCTTGATGTTTTTCATTTCCAGTATCTAGGAAACCCATGCTAAGGTATGAAACATACACTCGTAGGCATTGTTCTGTCCGCTAAAGTCTAATCCTGGACGCAGATCTAGAAACGTTGTGCTTTTTGAAGTTTATTATTGTGCTTTGCCCTTTGACAACCTTACGTCACTCGTACGTTTGGTAGCAGAAGATGGCTAAACTCTGCTTTTCTTGTTGGAAAACGGCTTTAAATTTTATCAGATCGCTCGATAAACACGTGTTGGTTTCTGATAGCTGATAACGTTAAATCACTGTTGCTCAAACTGATTTCTTACTGCATTTTTCTGAGTTTTTAGCATCGACCCGCTGAGTCTGGAAAGCTCAAATTTCAGAAAAGTACTACTAGTATTTTTTGGCCTCAAACATTTTCTTTTAAGTTGCCCGTAGTTTTGAAAACAGGTTTTGAAAGAAGAGATAACGCTCTTTAACGTGGTATAAGACTCGTTACTGAAATCGAGGTACCAGTCGACGATTTTGGGCTTTGAAATTTGCCATTTTTTCATTGAAGGAAAACGTTAAAAATATTGAAAATAATGAAAAATCTCCAAAATATTACACTTTCGTTCAAACTGAGTAAATCACCACTTAGAATGTGTGCAATTAAGTACTCTTCTGAATAAGTTATTTGTTGTCCGCATTACAATGGATTTGAATTTTAAAACGATTTCTTTGCGACACATGGTCTCGGGCCTGGAAAACCCGGTCCGAGAGCCGCGAAACCAATAACCCCCCCGTACGTGGAAAATAATTATCGGATCGAAGTAAAAATTACATTTATGTTAATAGCTTACCTAGTACTACTTTGTGAATTTTTTTGAGAATTTTCGATTTTTCACTTTTGTAGACCTCTGGTCGATATTTACTGACATCCGCTGAGGAGATGAAGTTACCAGTGCCTCACATGACACGAAAGATATAAAACTTCGGTTCAAGGTAACATTTCGCTAAGCGAGCTCGTCGCTCGAAAAACCCCAAACATGTTGCGAGGAAAACTAATCAAGCGTGAGCCAAACAACCTCATGGTTTTGTGGCTTTCTCGCGGGTCCTGATTTTTGTCGTGATCAGACACAGCATTAATAAAAATTAATTCCAGAATATTTTTCACGACGTTCACCAACGGTTCACGGTCTTCTGTTCGTGCATAGCAAAACCGCATATTAGGAAGTAACTTCTTTCTTTCCTTAGTTGCTGGTTTGGATTTATGCTGATTTTTTTTTCAGTGTCAGTACTGTCAAATTAGAGTCAAATGTGGTGCGTTGTTGACTATACTTGTTTTAATCTAATTCTACTGTCGTATACGGGAACGTTGATAATAATAAATATGCAAACATTCGAGCCTTACAAATAATCTAAAACCCCCTAGAGTTGCAGCAATCCCGGTCAATCCAGTACCACCACCAATGGCAGCTGTCGCCGCTGAACCAATAACTCCGGTTGCACCCGCACTCTGACAAAGAGCAAACAGACTTCCGGCAGCCACAGATCCACCATAAACAGCTGACTGTATACCTGCTGCGATAGAACCAACAGCTACTCCAGCGGAAGTGAATCCAACCGCACCTAAAGCAGCGCCAGCAACCACTGGAGCGGCAAGTACACCTACAGCAGTAGCAGCCACCCCCACAGCTGCAGTAGCTAAAACCTGATTGGTTGTGTTTGAAGGAGGCGTTTGTCGTGGGCCTGTTAAATGGACAAAAAAAACCTATATAAGTATTTATTATGCCTAATAGACCTACATCCATTAATTAGCCCTAGTTAAAAAATATCGTTGATAACACTCTGAGCTGATATTCAATATTGCAGGTGTAGTTTTTATTATAAGGTGGGTCATTAGCCTTCTTTGTTGCTTAATTTTTGTCATGTTGTAATTACAGTCTAGAATAACACGCTACGAAGGGAGAGAAATCTCTGCGATCATCCTCGGAGACCCAGGGGCAGATAGTGGGGGCGAGGGAAAGTCTAAACGGGCGGAAAAAATTGGCGAAAAGAAAAGTAAAGAACGGCGAGAAGAGCCCCTGGGGACAATGTCTTACCAGACCAGTTCCAAACGGTTGCCGCCGTTCTGGCATCTGATTGGGCAGAAAAACACAAAAGCTTTCTGGCACCAATCAGAATCCAGAAGGGCAGCGACCGTTTGGAACTGGTCTGGTAAGACATTGTCCCCAGGGGCTCTTCTCGCCGTTCTTTACTTTTCTTCGTACCCCACTATCTGCTCCTGGGTCTCCGAGGATGATCGCAGAGATTTCTCTCCCTTCGAAGCGTGTTATTCGGCCTAGAGAAACCAATGCTCGAAGACTCGATGAACTTAAAAGACATACAATCGAATCTGCCCTACGGACATGTACAGCCCCCGAAATGATCCCCATTTCTCTTCACGTCAACCCCGAAATGATCCCCAAATAATTCTTGGAATGGAACTTGTATTCCGTCACGGAATTATTACAAATCTGTTGCAGCGTTTACGTTCTTATACCGCGTTTAACATTTCGCTACAAATTGAAAACGTTACAGTCAAAAACAGTATTTTTCCTTCTTCCCTTCCCATGAGACCCCCCGCGCGCCTCAACCTAATCCCCATTAATCGTCTCTCATCCAAAAAACACTTAAATAGCGACTGGGTACGAGTCTGAGTCAAGAAGACTTTAGCAGCGAGTGATCAAACAAAGTGAAATAGAGTTTAGCTGCGATATTTCGACTGGCCAATACCAGTCTTCATCAGGTTCATTGAGATATCACGAATTCACAGAAATATATATGAAGCAAAATTATGACCGGAAGTTACATAATATGACGTGGTATGGTGGCTACTTTAAAAGACAAGGTAACAAAAAAATAAAAGATATGCTATATATAGTTACAGTTCATCACGTTTATTGATGCCCAGAGGCTCAATTGTCTTAGCTTTATGGATAAGGTGGGCTTCACGAGCTTTTCTGAAAGAATCACGCCCATTTTTAAGTTTTTCAATAGGAATCAAAAGCATATGATTGTCGGAATGATTACTGGTTAGAAAGTGTTCTGAAACTGCAGTATGGATGTAATTACCAGTAGGGTTGAGTATAGGTCGTCTGTGTTCATTAAAACGGTCTTTGAGGCGAAGTTTAGTTTCTCCAATATATTGTAGATTACACAGGCGACATTGAATCAAATAGATAACATTAAAAGTTTCACAAGTGATATGAGATTTGATGTGGTGGGTCTCACCTGTAGAATGAAAAGTGTAATCGCGGCTACGACAAAACCTTTCTTAAGATCCAAATACAACGAGCTTCCGACATTCTCCGCACTGAGGTACTTACAAACAAACCCAAGACTCAGACTGAAACCTGGTAAAGTCTTCTTGACTGTAACGTTTTCAATTTGATCTATTTTGGTTGATCACGATCTTTTTGGATCCGACGTTGGGTAAGATTGATCGTACACGGTATTTGCAGTATTTTTTTTTTTTACCTTAATTAAACATTTCGCTACAGTTAATGTGATTTTTAGCGCTTGTCATCTAATCGCCTTTATGTATACTTTTGCATCTTCAACATCATTTTAATATTTTAAAAAGTGTTAAAACACCATTTTTAAAATTCAATATCCAAGGCATGCAGTTTTAACATCACTTTTTAGAATTTAACATCTATGCAGTTTTCTCTATAAACCGGGCTATAACCACTTAAGTAAGAATTTTTAAAAAAATTTTATGTTTCTTGATATTATCAGTCGCAGTTCATGGTGTTCCTAAAAATATACTAGACTTTGTGTATTTTTTTGATAATAATATTTTCCGGCGTTTAATCCAGTTCAAAGTGTCATCCCAAATTAATGTCATGTGGGCAAGTGAAGATTATTAGCATTTCGGGGTCGGGATCATTTCGGGGGCTGTACTTATACAGACAACCGCTTAATATGGACATCTCGATATCTTACTACGTAAACTTACTAGGAGTTATAATTTTGTCACTACATGTGTTATGCTTTGAAAGATATATCAGTACGAGATTCGGCAGGCCGACTCGATAGCTTCTGCTGGTGCGTGCAGTGACACTGATTCAGCCAGCGTGGCCTCTTTTTCTCCAAAAACTGTCATAGGAATAAAACTGACACTTGCTCAAATTTAAAATTCCACTGAAACTGAAACCCGATTTACCATTGCCCGATGAAGTGCCATTTTCTGCATTTTCATTCTGGTGAGGCAGCAATTCCAGGGTAATGATCATGAATTCCAGCTCACGTTGTTCCTCCGGTTTCTTAGGGTTCTTTGGATCACTTGATTGCCCCGGCCTCCATTCCTGCTCAAAGGAAAAATATCTTCAATATCACCCTATACCATAACAATCCAGCCCTTTATTGACTTACCTGTTTTCGCTAATAAACTCAATTCCGGTGAGAAGTTACCCTTGGTGACAGAGACTTTTCACACGTGGTTTCCAGTTTCAGTCAAATTTTAGCAGTGACCAGCGCGAGCTAATCGGGGAGTCCGGTTTTGAGCATGATAGTTTTCTGCTGGGAGGCTTCGCCCCGAGATTCAAACCCACACCCTTTTAATTCAATCGACCGGTTTTGATAGAAGAAGTACCTCTGTAGTATACCTTCCATTCAGAGATGGTACCCCTACCCCCATGGTACCTGCCCACCATAGAAATAAATTGCTAAAGCAGGGAGTCTTGTTATCATTTTATGCATCATCGGCATGTAACCATTGGCCACTAGTATAACTTTTAATATATTTAAATGGTATAGCCATAAGGCACGTCATTCGATTTTCTTACCCTCACATATACTTCAGGCCCCGGTTGTTCAAAGACTGGATAGCGCTATCCACTGGATAAATCTCTATCCACTGGATAGCGCAATTGGTTTCCCTAAAACTTATCCGCTGAATAGTGATTAATCAGGTGGATAGCGCTATCCAACGTTTGAACAATCGGGGCCAGATCGTCAATTCTCTACCCTTTAATATGCCTGACGCCTCCTTTATAAGGTACCCTTTTATGGCGAAGCCTCCCCGTATAAGCCATTAAAGGGAGTACACCCCCCCATCCAAATTGCAGCCATCTTCAAAGTTATTTATTTTTCGTGAGGATACTAAGCTAGCTTAGAATCAACAAATATACAGTAAAAACCCACGAGTAAAAACCTAAGATTTAAGAACCTGTTAGGCTAAAATTTGCAATTTAGACCCCCTCTATAATTATAAGAACCTCTTTAGCCTAAAATTTGGAGAAAGGTTCTTATTTAAAAATATTTTAATTACTAATTGCCGATTGCAAAAGGCAAGTTAGTACATATATAAATGTTGTTTGATTGAGGTCATTGAGAAAATGTTTATAATGTTGTGTTTTACAGCACAATCATGTATATAAAGTTGCTTTGACTCAAGAAATTAAAATTCATGTGAGAATAGATCTCTATTATGGTCATATTAAAATATAAGCAGTCATTAGGTATGCAAATTTAAGGGTGCTGATCACTAAAATCTTCTTAGCAACGACATAATTTTTTGCAAGAAATTAAGAACCTATTAAGAACGTAGATAGCCTAAATTTATGTTAACCACCATTTATGTAAGGACGTGTTTGGGCTAACCCTGGAAAATGTAGGTTCTTACTTGTGGGTTTTTACTGTATATATCACAGCGTTTTCACAGCTAGGCGCTAGCGGACAGTTATTTTTTGGGTTGTTCATTGGCAATAGACAATAGACAATATTTTATTTAGGGCCTGTTATCAGCTCGTATACCAACCGTTTTCCAAATAATTTATAGTTACAGCTAATTACAATCTTCTATGCTAAGCTATTTAGTACACTTTACACAAAAAGTTATTGCAAATAGAGATAATTACATACACATGTACATATTTTACACTACTCTTTTCTTTCTTCTCGTTTCTTATTTTGAAGCATTCGAACACATGCCTTGCTATTATTTTTTGGGTTTCAGAATTCTCGCTAGGGAGATTTATTAAAAACATGAATATTTCATTGGGTAACATCTTATTCACTCTAATTAGATGATCATTTTTCAAGTTATCTAATAGCACGTTTGTTTTTCCTGGAGGGGCATATACATTTAAGTGATATTCGTCTTCCATTTCTAGTTTACAAACTGGACACATTCTTTCTTCGATTCAGGTTTTTTTAAGGTCTTAAGTATCGGTCCGTTTCTAAGGCGAGTTTGTGATCGCTTAATCGTAATTTTGTTAAAGTTATTCTGTGTTGGGTATAGGTGACCTGGCGAAGGTTAAATCCTCACATTTGTAATTTTCTATTGGTTTAAATTTTTGGCATGTATTCATTTCTCATTTTGTTATTTTGGTAAGCATCTGGCCATGCGCACGATGTTAGTCACCACCTTTTTAAAAAAACTGGCCCAAAGCTACTTTTATTGGTACAGTTCCTCTAAACTCGTTTAAAAATATAGCAACTTGATTTTCTGCACGATTGCCGTGCAATAAATGTGCATTACAGCGAGTACATACTTTCTGCATAACGCTAAAAACTAATGAAATCTTTGTGAACGAAATGTGGTGGAGTTAAAAGACGCCATTTTGTCCTACTTTTTACTTAAGTTTCGATCTCACTCACCACTATAATAAACGGTATTGTCCAAAATAGACAAAGCTTGTAGAGAGGCACATCTACCAAAGTTTCTCCTATGATTAAAATTCATCGATGGATTTTCATGGTTCTTCAATAAAAAACACCTTTTTAGCCTTATAACGCAATTTTTAAAGCATCAATTGCATCGAGGCTCGGTTACAGTTGTTTGTCATTTCGTGCATCGTGCCTTTGTCCTTGATGCACCATTTAAACACGATGAAGGAGCCGTTTGAGTACGATGAAGGCACCATGCATATTTAAACACCATAAGTCATTTAAGCGCGAAGGGAGAGGCACGGATAACACCTTACAAAACGTGCTGGTAAATTTAACTCGTGAAGTTAAAAAATAGCCTCATTAATACAAAACTGACTTTCTCAAAAACTTAATTATCCCAGGCTATTGTTATACATTCTTTCTCTTTTCAACACCGTAGCTTTTTTCTCAGATGATGTATCGATGATTGTTTGAAAAAGGCTCGTTAAAGCACGGTTAGGGCTCGATAAAGGCACCATACAGGCACGATCTATGCACCCTCAATGGATTCAGGCTCGACGCAAGTTTATCGGTTTCTTATGCACGATGCACGATGGCAAAATTGATCTAAAGATACAGTGGCGGATCCAGAACTTCAGATAAGGCAGGGGGGGGGGGGTGGTCATCTAGACCCTGAGATAAGGGGGGGAGGGGGTCTCAAAAAAAATGTTGTTACGGCTGTGATCACCGACACAGTGCACTTAGCCATCTCTTCTGATGTCGTTATTCATTTCACTCATCCAATATTGTAGTCTAGTCTATTTTAGCGGTAGTCCTTGAGATGGTATACGGACCCAATGGGCTTGACCGTAGAAGATAAGGTCAGCGATTTACGCTCTTCTGGGTGTGAAATGGCATTACTGTCGAGAGTGTTAAATCCTAGTCTCCCGCACAGCGCCCTTTTTTTAGTGGAGTCGTAGTATGTGTACTGGTTATGGTACAACAGCAGAATTAAAAACAGACAATTAGCAACTTCGCGAAAAAACTGAAATCTCAAACTCGTAGTCGTCCTTGTCCGCGAATCTAAAGGTCTATAGTTTCGTAAACAAGCTCAGAGCCTCCGTCAGGGGCTTCATGGTAATTTTCTTCAGTTTCAAGCATCCATACATTGATTTTTATGCATTAAACAGGTTTTTGAAGAAAACAGCCTCTGGATGAACGTTCATTTCGTGCTGTTTTCTTTTGAAGCTGAGGCAGGGCAACGTACTCGAGTACTCAACTGTTTGTAAATTTGCTCCTTAAATTTCATTGGCTATTTAACTTTGTCCGATCTGACCTGTCTTATGACAGGTGGACAGTTTAAATCTCAGTAAATTAAGCCATAAATAATGGCTACTAACACTGGACGAAAAAACGGATTTGCCTAAGTTTGCTAGTTGAGCAAATCTATTGTAAATTTAGGGTACTAATGTTGCTACTTATTTGTTCTTGGTGCAAATTTTGTTCGAAAGTGAAAGTTTACTTTTCTGCAAGGGTGGCGTAAATGTGGAGTAAATATCAAGTTTACAGATATTTTGTTTCACTTTTGCTCCCCATAGTAAATTTGGTGTTTAGATTCAAATTTGCCACCATTTTGTTCTGTGTGTAAAAATCGAGCGTCAAAACTGAATGTTTGCTTGATATTTTCTGGCATAGCAAAGCTAATGTGTAAATTTATGGTTACTAGAGGCGTAAATTTAAGCAAAATATGATCAAAGAACTATCTTTACGACCACTTTAACCAACGTTTGCACATTAACCAAACTTCACAGTGTTATTTCACGCAAGTTTTGATTTTCCATTGCATTTTCCGTTTCAATCACCATCACATTCTTCTCAAAGTTTATAATATTACTTGCTGCAGCTGGTTATTTCGGGGAAGGCCATCCCCCCTTTTTTTTCGTTTAGCGTCGAATGCGTTTCCTGATATTGTGTCGGTGGCTCGGAAAAAAAATATAACAAGAAGTCTCGGAATAGGAGGCCCTGACGTAAAACGTTACCATTTACAATTTGGGTGAACAAAATGCACAATATGTGAAAGGTTTGAACCCAGGAGTCATTTCAATAGTAGATTGCAGAGTTTGATCGTCCGGGTGAATGTAGTCCTGAATGCAATCTGTCGCAAGATCAGCCGCCATGTTTGTTGCCCAGGCTTCCATGTGACTTTGGCACATGCGCGATTTGATTTACATTGTCACGTGCGGCTTTTGAACCAATAGAATAGTGTAAAATAAACTTTCGTTGAACAGTTCAAATTCACGCGGACTTCACAAGCGATACAGCGTTGCAAAACGAGTAGTTTTGTTATTTTCGGATAATAGAAAGCCTGTCTTTCTATTCAGCTGTTCTATTACGATTTATACCTTTGTTATCTTCGAGAGACAGTGATCAGTTGCGATATTCTTCACATAAAGCCCGTTTCCAAGTCATCAACTCAGCTGGATTGCAGAAAGGTATGTTCTTCTTGATATCGTGGTTCGTTTACTTACTTTGGTTTTCTAATAACTTTGCGTAAGCTGAAAGCCTCAAAGATAAATCTTAGAATTTAAGATGCATGCACAGATATGCCATTGATTGATTCCTTTTTGTTTACTGCAGAAATAACTGTACTCTTTGTTGCGCATCGTCTTCATTAATAGAATAATCTTAAGTAGCCGGATCTTGAGCTGTGCAGGCAAACATTTCTTTTACACCAATATAAGTCGGTGATGTGACCTTAGCATGCCCATAATTCAGAAATTTGGCTTGTTGTACAGCTGAGTTAATATGTTAGATCTTTGGGGTTACTGTACTTTTCAGGTGACAGCACTTGACAAAGCAGTGGTCACTATAATTTATTATTTAATATTCTACTACATTTCAAATGACAAATGATTTCCCTTTTGAAATTTTTACAGTCAAAAACTCTTGTTTTACATCTATACATAATTATGGTTCAGTGATGTTGTGAAATCTTAATTTGGTTCATTTTGCAAGTGAATGGCACAAGTTTGCCAGATCTTGAAGCATATGTGTCATTCTGAGTGACCATTGTATTATTGTTCCACATTTAAATGATAAATGATTCTTATTTCATAAATTGTACCATCCAAAACTCTTATGGTTTATACATATGGTTCAGTGATATTGTGAGATCTTAATTTTTTTTCATTTTGTGAGTGACCGCACTTGCCAGATCTTGAAGCCTATGTGTCCCTCTGAGTGACCACCTTATTATTGTTCCACATTTAAATGACAATTGATTCTTCTTTCATAAATTGTACTATCCAAAACTCTTATGGTTTATACATATAGTTTAGTGATATTGTGAGATCTTAATTTTGGTTCATTTTGCGAGTGACGGCATATGCCAGATCTTGAAGCTTATGTATCATTCTGAGTGAGCACCATATTATTGTTCCACATTTAAATGACAAGTGATTTTTCTTTCACAAATTGTACCTTCCAAAACTCTTATGGTTTATACATATGGTTCAGTGATATTGTGAGATCTTAATTTTGGTTCATTTTGCGAGTGACGGCGTATGCCAGATCTTGAAGCCTATGTGTCCTTCTGAGTGACCACCATATTATTGTTCCACATTTAAATGACAAGTGATTCTTCTTTCATAAATTGTACCATCCAAAACTCTTATGCTTTATACATATGGGTCAGTGATATTGTGAGATCTTAATTTTGGCTCATTTTGCAAGTGACCGCATATGCCAGATCTTGAAGCCAATGTGGCATTCTGAGTGACCACCGTATTATTGTTCCACATTTAAATGACAAGTGATTCTTCTTTCATAAATTGTACCATCCAAAACTCTTATGGTTTATACATATGGTTCAGTGATATTGTGAGATCTTAATTTTGGTTCATTTTGCGAATGACGGCATTTTTTTCATTTTGCGAGCGAAGCCTATGTGTCATTCTGAGTGACCACCGTATTATTGTTCCACATTTAAATGACAAGTGATTCTTCTTTCATAAATTGTACCATCCAAAACTCTCATGGTTTATACATATGGTTCAGTGATATTGTGAGATCTTAATTTTGGCTCATTTTGCGAGTGACGGCATATGCCAGATCTTGAAGCCTATGTGTCATTCTGAGTGACCACCACATTATTGTTCCACATTTAAATGACAAGTGATTCTTCTTTCATAAATTGTACCATCCAAAACTCTCATGGTTTATACATATGGTTCAGTGATATTGTGAGATCTTAATTTTGGCTCATTTTGCGAGTGACGGCATATGCCAGATCTTGAAGCCTATGTGTCATTCTGAGTGACCACCACATTATTGTTCCACATTTAAATGACAAGTGATTCTTCTTTCATAAATTGTACCATCCAAAACTCTTACGCTTTATAAATATGGGTCAGTGATATTGTGAGATCTTAATTTTGGCTCATTTTGCGAATGATGGCACTTGCCAGATCCTGAAGCATAAGTGTCATTCCAAGTGACCACTGTATTACTGTTCCACATTTTAAACGACAATACCTCATTATTTATACCTTTTGTACAGCTCAATGATGTTGAGGGATCTTTGTTAGTTCATTTTGCTAGTAAATGCTTTGGCTTTATCATGCCAAATAACCACAATTAATCAATTATTGTTCTAAGCAACATGTGGGTTGCCTTAATGTTACGTTTCTCAGGTTCTGACCGGTTTTACGGTTTATGTGTACAGTTGAGTCATGGTTGTGCTCTGTTAGAGCCTGGTGACCTGTGGGACGCTATCAGTTCTGCTCTTGAATGACAGGGGAATTAATTTATTTCAGTCTTTATTTACACTTAAAAGAGTCTTAATGAAACAAATGCAGATTCAACAGAAAGAGGCATTTCTGCTCTCTACTTTAACACCTGTTCCAAAAAACATATTATATATTTAATGAAAAAGTTAGTAGGAATAAAATGCAGGGGAAATTTTTCTCACAAATATCCTCAAACTGTTCCTTTGATTAAGAGAGTGTTTTCAGCTTTTAGCATCGTGTCATTGTTCTGCAACCCAATCATTTACACTGAGTATGAGCAGTATATGCTTGTTTACCAACTGTGGGTTACTATGTCTTGTTGGCTGCTAAATCATGGTTCGTCATTTTCTTTCAAAAAAAAAAATTAAAAGGCCAATATGCTCTGAGGGAGTCAACTAGCATCAGTTAGTCAGGCGAGGACAAGTACCTTGCATGTATGTCCGTTGCATATATGTCATCAGAGGAGTCTTTGTCTGAAACAGCTGTATCAGAGTGGCATGAAGGTAATTCTTCAGGTTCAGATGAGGACCTCCCAAACAGGGAAAATCTCTGTGTAAGGCCACTTTCCTGGCAGAGCATTGAGGTTAATGGTTTAATGGCCCAGTTGGACCGCAAAAGTTGCATGGTGTCAAAGTCAATGAAGTGAAAATAATGGTAATAGAGCACACAGTGAGACCAGCATCAAATCAAGGAGCACCAGGCGATGCTCCTGAGTTTGCTCTGGCACCCACCACTTACAATAGAAAAAGGAACTTGATCATAAGCATAACACAGATAATTTTTTGAAGAACATTCAGAAAAGAAGAAGACATTTTAGATAAAAATGTACAAAATAATAATAACACTCAAGTTGAAGTTGACATGCATCATGATTCAGTTCCTTTTCAGTTAAGTTCCTTGAACCATATTTACTCAGTAGACAATTGCACAATTTTTTGAGTTTTGATGAAGACCTACAATGTAGTAAGTGAATATCCTTTGACACCCATGGGAAGGAGCCACGTTAAAACTAGGTAAATTACCAAATGTCAAAGTGATTTGTCACAATCCCATGAAGATCTTGCCTGTGTTGCAGACACTCTAAACCTTCTGTATAGAGCATGCCGTCTGAGAATTAGTGCACAATATCATGTTTGAATCCCACTGGGTCACAAAGACATGCATGTATGACAGCGTTTTGTGATTGGCTAGGTTCTTACGCTGTTTGTGATTAGTCCGATTTGAAATAAAGTGTTGACACAAAGTCACATAATCTCAATGACCTTTGTATGGTATGGTGGAGCCACAAACTTTCCCTTACCAGACAAATGTCTGCAAAATTTGCCATCTTTGCAGAGCTGTCCTTGTTAGTTTGCACCGAATCACTCTGTAACTTGGCAACTTTACTGAATTTTAAAAACCTTCCATCTAGTAGCCTGTAAATGCAGCTGTATTTTCAGTCATCGTGTCCATTCACCCAACATATGTAATTGGAGATACATCTGCATCCACTTTCCACAGTGGTGACAGATTCCTAGGGCTACCCTGAGCACTGCCTTAAAAAGTGCCCCTCCGAGGACTAAATGTAGCCAATACACCCCATAGTAGAGTAATTACTGGACTCCAAATGCCATGATCCTATTTTGTTCTTGGCATATTTTATGAAAAAAGAGTGCAGTTATGTTTTATGCACACAAAAAAAATACCGTCTGTGATAACAGTTTTTTGATAAGCATGGCTTAAATTTTAATCACCTGCATGCCAATAACAATAATAATGATGATGAATTAAAGAAGTTCTACAGAGCTTTCATAGTGTATAGATTGTGTTTGGATAATTTTCATATTTAATCAGTCCAATACTGCAAAACAGCTGATCATGTGAATCAGAAAAAAATTGCTCAAATTTTTAGCAAATAATTTGATTTTAGTTAAAAAAAAATAAATGTAATAAATTATTTATGGTCACATAATAATACAAGAATTTCACCAAATCATATTATTTACAGTGATATAATAATAATAATAATAAAAATAATAAAAATAAAAATAATAATACAAGTATTTAACCAAATCAGTGGATAGCAGATTTGCTTTCATAACTTGAAAAGCTTTTGGCTACCTATAGGATGAGAGTAAAATTGGGGTGTCATTTCGTGCTAGTTTTAGAAGTTTAGCAGTAAATGAAGCACCTGTAAAATAAAATACATGTACATGCTAAAAAGGTGACAAAATTAACCTTATAAGTGTTTACTGCTGGGTAAAAATATATCAAAGTCGTACCCAAATCATAGAAATGCACAGAGCTTTCGCATAGTAACTCATTTTATTTACAAGAAATATTTTTATATAACTGATTTGGTTAAAAATGAATCATACAGATGTATCTCCCCTTGGGGTAAGTGAATAGCACAGGTACACTATATGATATTATTCACTGCCTATTTTGGGTAGTGGATAATATTTATCAGATGAAAACAAGTTCTTATAAATAATAATTAGAGGAATATCGCTTATCATAATAATTTGAGGCTAATTTTATTTCCTGTGGTTGATGTTCTGTCCGTTAATAAGGATGTCACATCTACATTGGGAGTGATGTGTACTTGTTGTCATCGTACAACCATTTGCCAATAGTATCAATTGAATCTAGAAAGAGTATATTTGAAGTATACCACTCAAATGGAGTTACGTTTTACCTGTACCAACCTTAGATAATTATGAACCAGCTAGTGTTGACTTGCACTTTCAAACCCAATGTACATTCTTATACACTTATGAATTTAGATAGTTTCACATTGTATGTGCTTTTTATTTAAAGGCATATATTTTGTGGTACATGCAGTGCCCTGCAGAGGCCAATGGAACTTTCTTTTAATTTATCTTGCTTTTTATTGTACAGTGTATATTAAAGATAATAAAGTCATTTTATTCTTGAAATTTTGTTTGGTGTCTTAATTGTTTGTGAGTCATGTATGGTACCAAATAAAAATAAGAAACATCTGGATAATGATGTTTTGATCAAATTTGCTATCTTGAGTGAAAGTGTAAAAAAGTGATATTTTAATCAACTTTGTTTACCTTACTTTAAGTATGGAAAACTGCTATCATGGCAATATTTGCCATCCTGAGCAAAGATACAGAAGAACTGATATTTGATGAACTTTGCTACAATGGGGAAAAGTATGGGAAACTACTGTTTTGATCATATCTGCCACCCTGAGCAAACTTGAGAAAAACGTGGTATTTGGCCAAATTTGCTACCCTGAGCAAAACAGTGGCAAACGCCTATTTTGATCATATTTACCACACTGAGCAAAGATACGGAAGAAGTGATAATTTGACCTCATTTACTACACTGGGCGATACACAAATAAAGTGAATTTTTGCTCAGATTTACTATCCTGGGCAAAACTGTTGAAAAATGAGTTTTGGTCACTTTTGCTACATTGAGCAAAAATGTGGCAAATTACTACTTTGACCGAATTTGCTATAGAGAGCAAAAGCATTCAAAAATTCATCTTCGATCGTTTTTGCCCATTTGGGCAAAAACCTGACAAATGTCAGTTTTGCTATCAAGTTTGACACCCCTGTAAATGCCTTGATAAAGTAAAGGTTATCCTTGTTTTTACACACGGGGCAAATTTGAGGCAAATTCGGCATTTACCACCTTTGCCACTGATGCAAAATTATGGCAAAGTTGGTCCTATGTCATGTGGCAAAATTGAGCAAAATTAAGCAAATGTGGCATTTGCAGATGATTTGCTCCAAATTTGCTATAGAGGTAAATCCGTTTTTTCGTCCAGTGTAAGAACCAGTCGGACCCTTGGCGGCTAGACATTCACGTCACCCAAACCGCCATACGCACTGGAGAGCAAGGGGCGCATTGGGACAAGAAAAACAGAAACTGGCCTACATAATTAAAATGGTAATTTAATTTTTTCCTTCTCGCAGTGCTGCGTTTCTTTCTCTTATGATTGGGGTATTTTTGGACCACGTGAATAACTATCTGAAAAACGTCCTATACAGCAAGTTATTCACGGTTTAACCCCTAAAAAAGAGAAAGATATAATCCTATACATATAAGTTTTGAAAGAAAATGAAAGCAGCATTTTGTTTCGGTTTCAAGTGCTATTAATGTTGTATTCATTTTCATGTGAAGGAACTGGCTTTGTTAATTGCTTGCTTGAAGGAGCTTACTACTAAGTACTGAGATAAAAAAATATATCTTAACGAGGTCGCAAAGTCAAAACAAATCTAAACTTGTTCTCAAGTTTTTCTGCACGGCTAGGCGTGAAAAATATTTTGCAGTTTCTTAAGGGTTCGGAGCTTCATAAAGCCACGCCGTAATGAATGTTGCCAAATGAGAAAAACGTGGTACATACAAGTGAAATTGTTCATCTGGTCACCATGCATTATACGGCGTGTTTCAGTTTCGGCGATGTTACTATATAGAGTATATAGGCTTTAAATAGCCACAGACCTTCATGTTGTCGGGAAGTCAACAAATAGAATTTTACATCTTTAAGTTGGAAATGATTCTGGTTATGGATAAAACGTGTCTAGAAAACGACGAGTTAGGAAACGATGATATAGGTGTAAAGCTCGTTTGAAACGTCTAACTTTGCTGTGTTGAATCTATTGTTCTCACTCATTTACATTTAGAATCGACTATAAGATTAGGCACATGTGAAGAAACAGACTTAAGGTCATGTATCTCATACATCAAACTGTCGTTGGAAAATAAAACGAGAGTGGTTAAAAATGAAAAACTGGGAAGACCTCAAACAGAAGATTTAGACAGAAATCATCAATTGTTCAAGCTTGTATCAGTTCTCGACACCGTTTCGAGGACCCTGAAAATGTTCAGTTTTTTTCGTGCCCCTTTAATGTTAAACGTACAGTGAATATCGATAATATATTTGTTTTCTTTTAGACCAGTTTCATTTACTATGTAGAGCACAAACTTCGTTTGCCTTTTACTTTGCAAAGCATTAGTTTCCTTTAAATAAGCTTCATATTTTACATATAAAATATGGATAACTATGCTCCAAAATGGTATTCGTTTACTTTATACTGTAACAGTGTCTTCTTATAGAAAATATTTTTCTTCAACAAAATAAAGCAACGTAATACAAACTTACTTGCCGGGGATTTTGCCTCATCTGATCGCAAGTTTCGTCCTTGCCTTCGTCAGCCATCTTTTATATCATTATCGTCGTGTGAATCGGAAACAGGTTCACCGGCGAAAAAAAAATGACACGTGATCGATTTCGCTTAATGTCATTGGCTCCGAGGCAAAAATGCGCGCGAAATGTTGTTCAGACGAAAGAAGCGATGGCAGCTTTTTTTGGCAGTGACAGCTTTGCAATTTCTTACCACTGTATGAGATCAAAAATTATTTTGGTCAAAGTTTGGACGTAAGTGTGTTCTCTAGAGAATATAGCGTCCTGAAACTGGCGAGATATCGCATTGATGCGGTCTGATTCAGTGTTATTGACGTTGAGATCGCTGGTTTGCATGTGGAAGACATGCCAAAAAGGTGGGTAGTTTTTGCTCTTTTTGTTTACTGCATGTTCGTGCAACTCGGTACAAAAAGAAATTATAAAGTAGTGGAAGAAAAATTATTGGGCTTTGTTTTGGTGTATAAATTAGCTTGTACCGAGTTGCACGGAAGCGACAGTTTTGTTAAATGTGTATCCCGTTTTTGTGTCAAATTTCGACTTTGATTGTGAATCTAACATTCGATAACATTCGACTGTTGATCGAAGAGCGTATTACAATGCTATCCAAAATGTTTCTGTTGTTTAGATCGAGTTTCTCATAACGGATTCTACAAAAAAGTAGAGGGACAGACATTTTCAGGCTTTGTTTTGTTAATGTGACTTAGCATGTACTTTCTTGCTGGAAAAACTATATTTAGATGCTTAATCAGGGGCACCCAACGACAATTTTCGGAAAATTATCTGTTCGGAAGACGATTTGAGATCTAGAATTTTCGGATCATTTCTGTAAAATTTCTTGCTTGCCTGCTTCTCCTAGGATTTTCGAACATCAAAAAAATGGTATAATTGCCCATTTTTAACGGATTTTTACCCTAAAAAGGTCACCTAGAATTTTCGGGAGCCTTTTTTCTGGCTGAAATTTTCGGAAAGGTAGATTTTGATCCCTATAATTTTCGGATCACTATACTTTCAGGTAGGAAATCCGAACAGATGAAAAATTTTTAGGGGATAAAAATAAGCCTTTATCTACTGTTTAAATACTAAAGTACGTTCAACAATGCTATGTTTATGTGGTTTTGAACTATATTCTCGTTGGGTGCCCCTGCTTAATCTCCGCATGTTTACACTGTTTATGGCATAAAAATACGCCTACGCTCGGTTCAACCTAATCTCGTGTCACTCGGTACAAAGGAAAGTTATAAAGAAGGTAAAGAATTACTCTTAGCCACTGTCTTGGTGTGTAAATTGTATTGTAGCTAGTGAATCGAAAGCTAAAGTGCGTAGTTCGAAACGAGATTTTGTCCATCGTTCCAAATTTCATTGTTGTTGTACATTAGTACAGCTTTGTATGTTACAGAAATTTGAGTTTTATCCGAACTGTCGAATGCGAAAATGTGAGAGTGCTTTCATTAAAACGCTAATACCGTCTTAGAGGTACAGTTCGATAGGTCCAGCAACATTTGATTTGTAAAAAATATTCTGCTTACAATGTGTACAGCTGCTGTACATTTAGGCTTGCAATGGTATAATTGAAGGATATTTTGCTCATAAATTTGGCTTGGGATTATCCACAACGAGGTCCTTGTTACTTTCCGCGTTAGGAACTGCACTTACGGACATGATTTCCCTCGTGTACAATTTTTTAGTACCAAATCTTTGCTCACAAGGCTTTCTGTGGGGGGTGCTTCTTTGCTTGAAAATGGGATCCTGGAAGGAGATGAACAGGGTAATTTTCCTGTGAATGGTTTTGTTTTTCAGTCCATTGTTTTTGGCTTAAATTTTTTGGAGCAAAGTTATGAATGAATGACAGAGTTAACATGCTACTAAGTATTCAAAAGTTCTGTCCAAGAAAAAAAATAATCAGGAGTTTAAAGTTTGGAGTAAAATGTTGAGTAAACTTTGAGTGTTAATGAAATTTTAGTTGGATCATGTTGATGAATGCAGTTGTGTAAGATGTGCAGTTTCTAATTTTGATTTTCTGTCATAATTATGAGAGAACACTCACAGATCTCATTCAAACATTATAGTTTCATTGTTATTATTGTTTGTTTCTATTCCTATAAACTTCTCATCAGGTCTCCATTTTGCATAATTTAATGTGATATATATTTGAAGGGGTTGTTGTTTCACCGTGAAGTAGGTTTCACTTCAAGTTGTTTTTCGATATGAAGTTGAGTTTTTTCTTAGTTGTTGGCTAAGGCAGTGTTGAAGTATCTGACTTGTTAACATACTTTACTTTTCATTTCTCTTCAGAAAAGATTGATTGATCCTGAATCAAACAAAGTGCAGCCTCACAAACAAGATTTTTTTGACGAACAAATGTGTACTCAAGGAAAGCATTTTTCTGACAGTGTCAATAAAATTTATTAATGGAAAGATCTGGGTTTTTACTCCTTTGTAGCGCTTTAGACAATATGCAGATTCACTTTTTTAACCTTTATCTACTAAAAAAATATAATCAGTATTTTTTCCAACCAACACTTGAATCAAAGTTCTCTTCTTTTAAATGTAGTATTCCCCTAATTTTAAAAATGTCATTATCGTATTCAGATCAAGCACAGTAACTATTGAAAAGAAAAAAGAAAAACACCCTTGTTCGGTCAAAGACGGCTATAAATTTTGATATTAAAATTGCACCCGTTCTCAATGAAAAGACTGAATGCAGACACCAAAGTTCATTTAGCTCATGTTCAAGCTTTTTTTATAATTTGGAAAGCGTTGCTGGAGAAAAAATATTTTTGCTTTACCTTTTCGGAAGAAAAAAAATAATAAAATAACTACCAGGTGTCTAAGCAATTTCAAAGGACCCATAGTGTCTTATTTATCTGCTACATTGAGCTGTGAACAAAGGCCGTTCTTCCTAGTGACCCTGCTTTTTTCAGAAACATTGTTGTCCTTCGTGATCCAAAGTTGAATCCTGTAAACCGGCAAAATCGCGAGCATCGCAGGAAACGAATCCCACAGGAATAGGTGAAAAAGGATAATAAAAAGTCTAGACTATTCTAAAAATATCCGATATGCATTTGCAACTCATATTAAGCCGCAATTAACCTTCTTTCCACTGGAATAAACAAACTATGGAGGTATTGCCGCCATTTTGAATTTGGCAATGTCACGTGGTCGCCCGACGACCAATCAGACATTTTTCGCCAGTGAACGGAAACAGGGGTCTTTTTTTTGCTTGAGCATGCGCACTAGGATTTGATAAACAGCACGTGACCGGTCACAGCTACGTGGTGCATATAGTCATTGGAACCAAAATCTTCACTTTGAAAGCTTGCTTCAAATGGTAGCAGGAACTCAGGAAAGACCTTCGTTGTACAAAATAAGTAAAGATCTCGTGATTTTAAGTGGAGACTGATGCGCTGAACGAGGTGAAAGAGCAAGTTTCTCAAGGATGTCTGACACGAACATGGCTGCTTGTTGTTGTTGGTCGCTCGAATCGTCTCTTGATTCCCCTTCAAGAACCGCAAATGTTGTCATGGAATGCATTGCTGATAGGTAGGTATTGAGCAAAATGTTCTTTATTTAGTGTTTGTCTATAAATCGGATGTAAATTAGTTTCTCCATGCCGTAGAGGACTTCTGTCAATAATTTGTGAATAGCTGATTTAGCCATATTTCGGGAGTGTATTCATAACGATCAGCGGGCGTCTACCACGCCGTTATCAGTTGGAACAGAAAGGTGGTCCCTTAAGTATTTTAGCGATACAGAATTTGTTTATCGGAAAATTGTAGAAGTTCTTGTTTTTCTGTTGGCTAACATTGTAACGCATACTTTACAGGAATTTTCTTTTAGCCAGACCTTTAGTGCTCTAATAATTTTTAACTTTTGGTCAGCGTCACATGTTTACTGTACCTCTTGGGAGAACTAACGGTTGGTTTCATCAAAATCGGTGAAAAAGTTCGATTTTAATTTCGGTCCTATTGAATGCTGGTTTGACTGTGACTCATTGATATTCATTTTTTTTATTTTTCTAGACATACGGAGTGACTACCACCAACATCTCACCAGGTGACTAATCTACGTCTCGTGTGCTCTTAATTTTGTAGATTCAAAGTGCTGGGAAAATTGTATAACATATATTAATTCACTGCTGAACTGAGCACATGCTGACATGTCCATTCAGACTTGACATGGGTTTGACAAGCATATGTATTTTATAGAGTATCTTTTCAATGTCTACTCTTGAAGTGAACTGGAACATTTCTTAATTTTATTAATAGTGTTGATTTGTTAGAGTGGAGAACGAGGAACACGACAAGAGTAGAAAACAACAACATGGGTTTATTCGTGAACCGCCTTTACGAGAGCACATGCTTCGAAGTGAAGGATCATGGGAACTAGAAACATACTTTATGTACGCTACAATATACTATCAATCAACATCCCTTCTTCTTTAGGAAAATAACAATGGAGTTTCTTAGCAACTAAATATGAAAGCCGAATCTTTCACTGAAGATGTCCACTTAAGTAACAATAACAAGGAACTCAAACAGTCTCTTTAGTAAGCAAAGTTCCTAAATAAAGCAGTTCAATTAATCAAAACAGTCTCTACTTGTTGAGTACATAGTCCTTAAAACGAATAGGTAATCTGCTTTCACGTTTAGGCCTTTCTGGTGCGGCACTCTTAATGGGAGTAGTTGCCTCACTATGCGAATGACTTTCTTTGGCCTCAGCGCCAGTGGTTGGAGTTTTAGGAACTGTAGGCACGGCTGAAGTCAATACTTGGTCAGGAGTACGAGACAAAACGATAGGAGACACATCGCGAGGAGTTCGTACTACTTTGGTGGGTCTTAGATGCACACGGTTTCTTCTGTACTTGCCGCCATTGGCACCTTCCACTTCGTACGTATTAGGGGCTAAAATTCCAGTTACTTTGCCCCATTTCCAGTTCTGACCTTCTGTGTGTTGGTAGAATACTGACTGTCCAATTTCAATAACTGAGAGTTTGGGTGATTTCCGATCGTGATACGTTTTCACGCTGCG